CTGCCCCGCCTCCACTATTCACTCGCCCCTCCTCCTGCCCCGCCTCCACTATTCACTCGCCCCGCCTCCTGCCCCGCCTCCACTATTCACTCGCCCCTCCTCCTGCCCCGCCTCCGCTATTCACTCGCCCCTCCTACTGCCCCTCCTCCACTATTCACTCGCCCCGCCTCCTGCCCCGCCTCCACTATTCACTCGCCCCGCCTCCTGCCCCGCCTCCACTTTTCACTCGCCCCTCCTCCTGCCCCGCCTCCACTATTCACTCGCCCCTCCTCCTGCCCCGCCTCCACTATTCACTCGCCCCTCCTCCTGCCCCGCCTCCGCTATTCACTCGCTCCTCCTACTGCCCCTCCTCCACTATTCACTCGCCCCTCCTCCTGCCCCGCCTCCACTATTCACTCGCCCCTCCTCCTGCCCCGCCTCCACTATTCACTCGCCCCGCCTCCTGCCCCGCCTCCACTATTCACTCGCCCCTCCTCCTGCCCCGCCTCCGCTATTCACTCGCCCCTCCTACTGCCCCTCCTCCACTATTCACTCGCCCCTCCTCCTGCCCCGCCTCCACTATTCACTCGCCCCGCCTCCTGCCCCGCCTCCACTTTTCACTCGCCCCTCCTCCTGCCCCGCCTCCACTATTCACTCGCCCCTCCTCCTGCCCCTCCACTATTCACTCGCCCCTCCTCCCGCCCCACCTCCACTATTCACTCGCCCCACCTCCACTATTCACTCACCCCGCCTCCTGCCCCGCCTTCCCTATTCACTCGCCCCTCCTCCTGCCCCGCCTCCCCTTTTCACTCGCCCCTCCTCCCGCTTCCTCGCTCTTGATCCGCTTCTTTCTCCGCTTCACCTCCCTCTCGGACCCACGTCTTAGCGAGAGGGCCCTTGCCTACAACAACAACTAAAATCTCAACACATTCGTCAATAGCACGGCCTTAAAGGCAACGTACACCATCGGCGACGTGCCTGTCAACATCACGCAGTTCCCCAGCAAAGCCGACTGCCGATGAGACGCCGCGTGTCGAAACCGGCCCTGAATTGTGTTCATGTTGAATCCCAGAAGGAAGTGGGCCCCGATGGAATGTTGTAATACCTTGAGAGTTTTATATAAACTAGGGGTCGGTCGTTCGCCAATTGTTGCAGCGGTATACAGTTCGAATTCAGCGGCTGCCCTGATTAACACTGCGGGTGTAATGACATCCTAAACACGTTCTATCCGTTTTACGGTGAACGCTTCAAATCGCTTTAAACTATTTAATGTGGCGCTGCACTCTGATGTTGTCGGCGAAAACATGTATTAAAAGGAGGCGTTGGAAAGCTGAAATTTAGCATAAAATTCACTTGAAATAATTCAACGTCTAACTAAAACTGCAGATGTTCAGAATATTATATTGAAATTATCTTATAATTATAAAATATTAAAAGTAATTATAAATATAAATAAATAATTGGAACTTTGTAGTAGAACGAAGCTAAATTGAGAGTACAATAATACACTCACATATTCATTCCACAGAATGAAAAGCCCTGGTAGAATCATTAGAATCAAAATGTTTAATAACAATCATTTAAAAAAGTTCAAAATGTATGCTTCTCCATTCTCCATGCTTCATGGAATAAATAAAAAGTGACCTTAGTAAATCTAAATAATAAAATAGTTAATAATGAAAAAGAATCAAAATTAGTGTTGGTATAACAATTCTATATTCATTTGAAGTTGCGCATTTTGATGTGACGTCACGTTTCTCAAACCCCCCCCCCCTCGTCACATATCGTCACAAATGTCTGACCCCCCCCCCCCCACCTAGGTGCGTGACGTCATTTATGGACGTCCCCATATACGTTGCAATCGTCTCGGTTTCTGTGCCTGTTGTTGTAACGTTCTGACCCGCTCCTTCTGGACATCTGCGAAAAATTGCTTTATGGCTCATCGGATTCGTCCAGTCTAAGTACAGATTCGGATTCCGACTTGGCAAACGAGACCCTCGTGAACAAAGAGCTAGGAGGTTCGGCGAGGCTTCCCCCGGGTAAGCAAGCGGAATGACAACAATACAGTAAGTATTGTAATACACAAGTAGAGATTTGTATCGATATTCTTAGGTTTTTTTCGGTAAAGTCACGTAGGTAAAAAATTTAAATTAATAAAAGTAAAATAAATTTTTAAATAAAAATCACGACGTTTCGGAGGCAACATAAGCTTCCGTCTTCAGGTGTAACCGTCACAGCACGATTGCTGTATCAAGTATTATCAAGTTTATACAGCTATCGTGCTGTGACGGTTCCACCTGAAGACAGAAGCTTGTGTTGCCTCCGAAACGTCGTGATTTTTATTTTATTTTTTATTTTACTTTTATTATTTTTAATTTTTTACCTACGTGACTTTACCGAAAAAACCTAAGAATATGAATCCTTGCAGTCACGAAAGCTTCAAATCTTTGTATCGATGTTTGTTGTTTAATAAAATACATCTCCGTGCTCACCGTATTTCCCCCCACGCCTCTCCACGCCACGCTTCTAATTTCCCAGTCCGCGTCCGCCAACGAACTCGGGCCGCTCGCAATGTGGCCGCTGTAATATTTACGAACAAATTGAGCAGAGTATAATTGTATCTTGTGTAAATGGAATGGCAGTGAATCTTGCACTAAACGAAGTGATTAAACACTTTACTGCAGTTCACTGTAGCACTGTATTAATGGCAGTGAATCTTGCACTAAACGATGTCATAAAACACCTCACTTCATGTCACTGTAGCACTGTATATAAACTGACCTTCAATTTGTTCAAATTCATTGCTGTGATACTTTATTCTCTTCTGCTTTCGGTCGCTGGGGTTGAAATACATTTCATTCGATACAATATCTGGGAAATCACCGAGAAATGTCTATTTTACCCTAATGTAGAAGCATAAATTAGACTTACCTTTTGTCTTAAGTGCTGATGAAATCAATAAAGACACCAAATCGACTTTGTTGCTGCGTAGAATTATTTATTAGGTTCACTTTCAATAAAGAAACTTTGAGCGAATTTGCGGGAAAAAAAATTTCCGCGTGAGTGTAAAAATCCACCCGCTCATGAATATTAATGACGGGGGGTGCAGCATGTGGAGTGACGTCACGCGCGTTACACACAGACAGACATTCTTGGCTCAGTATAGTAGTAACTAGGGGTTGTTCCATTTACAGCCTTCGGCCAGGAAAGTCACAAAAAAGTTGCACACGAACGACGCATTCACGCAAGCACCCGATGCTCCGTTTACAAGTTTTAAAATGAAACATCTTAGAATTGTATTGTTCTGAACTAGGTCATTGTATTCATTAAAAGCTTACTATCATTTTACATCTGGAAGACTTAATTGAAAAGGACATTTCGTGGCGAATTTTCTCTCGTCGTTAAGTAGATGGCCTTGCTGGATGCTCGGTTCGATGCGGACTTTCACCTGGTTGGGATTACGGGATCGAGATCAGGCGACACGGAGCTGCCGGCAGTGCGAGAAGACCGCCGTCTGCAGATCGATTCCAACGTAATCGAACGTCTGTCCCATGCGCCTCCGTCGTTCTCGTGCAGGGGGCGTGTAGGTTTGTAGCGCCCCCTGCATGAAAACTACGGAAAGTGCAGCGTTCATCACAGATACAGTTGTGCACTTACATTATAGTAGTAATGGTTGAGGGGGGGGGGTGTCCACCGCTTTCTTTGCCCCCCCCCCCTCATCTCTCTACACTTTCACCCAGCCACGAATGCCCTTATATGAATAGGCGAGCTAATTAATTTGCCCATTTTAACGTGCAATTAGAAATGCGTAATTGTAATTATGCATGGAGATTGGAAGCCGCGTGTCGAATACGCAATTTTTGTCTGTCGTGCACTTTTAATTCGGCAGAAATTAACATTTACATTTTAAACGCGGAGGAGGAGCAATGTTGTTTCTTGCTTTGAGCCGTTGCAGCAGACAAGATTCCCATAGTTCAGAAGAATCAGACTATTTATTTATATTGCACTGGAGGAATCCGATGAGCTACAAAAAAAATTCACGCCGTTCTTCCTGTTATCCGCAATATTCCAGGATAAGAGGAGTTTCCAGACGTATCCTGCTCATACTCGTGATAACTAACGTGCATGAGCTTGAAAACAAATTTCCCCTGCTCACGTTGGTTTAAATCACGCATTGCACCCGAAATACATTGACTGTATTTTAAAACAATACTAATAAGCGTAAATATGTCTGGATAATGAGTTGGGCAACGTTTTTTTTTACAGGTACGAAATATGTTTTTTTTTTACATCCCAATAATTTTCAGGACGGGCTTGTTGGAGTTCATTGGGGAAAATGAACGTGATAATAATATGGTTTTCCCCCTTTTTTCTGGCAACAAAACTGAAACCTTTTTACAAGGATTCATGTCTGCATTAACCACAATACTTGCAGTCAAAATGCTAACAAAAAACACACTGATAATATATGCATTGTCCTTGAAACTGATTGGTCCACACCAAGGGACGGCTTTCTTTTGAGCCTCGACCCAATTGGTGCTCGACCAGAGGACGCCAAAAGGCGTACAGCTCAAAGACAATGCTGCACTATCAAAGTAACGAGGGCTTGGGGTGAGCATCTACATCATTAGACCTCCTTTGCCAGTACCAAAATAGAATTCAGACCTTATTGGTCACCCCGTCCCCTTATAATCTCGACGTTCATCCTACAAAGTCCCATCACAAGGGAGAAACACGAACACAAAAATAATCACGTGGACATTTAAAACAATGTGTTGCCCGTACTGAAACGGCTGTACGCCGTATGTGCCTGAAAACTCAAATTTCCATGTACACGAATACGCCACAAACCGCGTGGGTTGACAGCTGTGCAATCGAGCACAACATTATTTTTTGGGTGTGTAGGCTGCGTCTTATAATCCGGACAATGCGCTCAATTTCTGGCGTCGAGGGTATGGGGGGTGGTGGCTTTTGGGGGAATCTCCGCGCCACGTGCGAGCCACGTGACCTCGCCTCGACTTCCGGGTCGAGGGGCGGTCTCGACGCACGTGCGGCGACTCCGACTCATCAGCCGCCACCGCCACCACTCAACCACGAACGATCACCGCTTCCATCATCGTCACCCCCCCCCATCCTCCTCCTCCAACATCAGCGCCAGGATGGGCCGCAGGAGGAGAGGCGGTGCCGCGGACGTCGGTGCCATTGAGGTCGACGCCGGGGAACTGGAGCTGTTGACGAGTGAGTACAGCAGCAGCAGCAGCAGCGGCAGTAGCAGCAGCAGCAGCAGCATCGGCATCAGCAGCAGCTAATTCACTCAAACGCTGCCTTGTTTTCTTGTAATCGGTACACCCGCACGCAGTCATCGAGCGTTTGATTCATTTTCGCTGCGACCACCACCACCACCACTACGACACAATGGCCCACAGTAAGGGTTCAGTCACACGTTGGTTGATTGATGGTGGCGGGTGTGAGCGATGCCAACATGACTGATGTTCGATTAGCTCCCGTGCGTTCACCGATTGATTGAAAACGACGCCGGACGATGCGACGAAAACCCCGACGAGCTCGCGGAGCGGCGACGCACCGAGGCCACGTCGCCGACTGTCAAGGCAAAGGTCCCCCGTGTAGCCCGGGCAGTCTATTGGGGCAAGTGCTGCGAGCGAGTAGCAGCCGATGAAGGCCGGCACGGCACACGAGGGGGGTGGGTGGCCAGCGCCACGCCCGGCCGCCTTTGTCTCCCCTCCCCCCCAGTGGCCGATGCTTTTACACACCGCACCAGGTTACTCATTTGAGGCCGAGTCGACCTAGGGGAGGCTCGGGACCGGTTCGGATAATTAATCGACGTCGGTGTTGGTGGCCGTGAGCGGAGTAATCATCGAACCCGGGTCGCCGCTAAGCGCTGCACCACCGCTCCCCCCACGCGAACGTTTTGAATCGTCCTGAGCGAGAGCTGATTAATAAATAAATAAAGACTTCTAAGTTACTCCCCGGCAGGCGCCTTCGATGCACTACTGGTGAATGAATTAACTTAAAACAACAACAACAACAACGTCATCAATGTGGTGGAGGAAGATATAATGACGATGGCCGTTCGTGATAATTCGTGCGAATGTCATAATCACGTGCTTTTTCATAATTGTGGAAACGTAACAGCGATCAGCAAAGTGAAGTATGGTCAAACAGACCCGCCCCCCTGGCGGAGACTTCATCCACGTGTGATTGTACACAATCCACAGGGTTGTGCACAATCACACGGTACAAGAATTTTGCTACGTGGCAACGCGCATCTTCAACCTCGACCATCGATGATGGCGAGACGGATGTGGTGACTTTCAGGGTGTTTTACAATCATCAATCACCACCATCATCACCATCACCCTTGCCAACCCGTGAAGACAAACTCGTGCACGTGGGTCTCGTGTGTCACGGCGGTCGCCACGGTTACGCCACAAGCTACGTACGGTGCGAAAGAAGTTCCACGTACGTCGAAAGTTTCGCCGCTCAAGTTAACCTCAATTGGGAGTTAACCAAAGGAGGAAGCGTTAACCGACGACGATTCAAATCGATTTTATTTTTTACAAAAGTGAGAGGGGGAAAACTCAAGTTTTGCAATAATATTATGCTTTTTTTGTTTTTAAATCGGAACCGAAGTTTAAAAATAAACAATACAAGTAAAATCACAGATATTGCTCCCTGGTTCCTCGAAGGCGTTGTTTTAAAATCCTTTATATTAAGTTCGCGTGCTTGCTTAGGATCGTGCAAATCTTTCGGTCGTTTTTTAACCCACTTCCCGTGATCTAATCGAGCTGACATTTTCCACACAGACTCGTTGTGCGTGACAATTAATGTTCGTGAAAATTTTTTTCCAAAATGTTACACTTTTTAGGACAAAAATATTATATTTAATTACCAATTGCTTAATGGTGCAATGCAATCATCTGACCCATAGGTGGCAGCCATCTCAAGCCAGAGGACGAGAGGACTCTAGCCGCCACGCATATAAAGGATTTATAGTGAAAAACTTTGTTTTTACGGGATAATTTTTTTCCGAATTGCTCATTCGGAATCGTCACCGTCATCGTGCGTGTTTGGTTGCTGCACTGTGTAACAGAAACATATTTAATTGTTCCTGGGTAGTAAGTGTTATTTCCTAATTGCTTATGCCTCAAAAGTACAGAAAACGGCTATTATTCCCCACAAACTTTCCTTTTGTGATCAGGACATTGATATTTTGAAATTTACCAATTTTCAATGAGAAAACGTGGTGTGCATTTGTGTCATTCCTTCACATAAATTCCTGGTCACAAAAGCAAAGTTTGTGGGCAATAATCGCCATTTTCTCTACTTTTGAGGCATAAGCAATTAGAAAATAACACTTCGTACCCAGGAACAAAACTCGTGTTACATGGTGTTGTCATTCCAAATAAATTCGTGCGCCCTCTTGTGGGTGAACGTGGTCATTGCGAACAGTCCCACGGTGGGCACCGTGTCAATCACCCGGCCTTCCCCCACCCCCCCAAGTCCTTTGTAAAATAAAGTTCAATAACACATTACTTAGTGGTGGTGGCGGCGATCAGGCACAATTAACAAAGAACTCAACACATGCGTCAACAATGCCGCCTTTAAATAATCTGAATCGGATAGAATTGGCTACGCTTCAGGCGTTGGCCCTTCTTCGTTGGTCCGTGTGCCATGAAGAAGGGTCATTCCTCGAAACGTCACCGATTATATTTATTTTAAGTTGAAGGGGGCCCCGCGGTGGCGAGATGTTAACTACCTCGCCTGGTTGACAGGTCGTGGGTTCGATCCCGACGCTGACCACTGCTGTATATTTGGAGTCTGCGTGTTTTCCCCTTGGCTGTGTGGATTTTTCTCCGGGTTCCGTGTCCTCTAATTTTTCACTTTAACATCATGCTAATCCCTCACTTACACATAGCCACTTCCATGCCCTCGTCCAGGAGGCCACTCTCCTCCTATCTTACAGTTACATGCTAATTTCTCACATTAACATCACTAGCCCCGGCCACTTCTTTATGACCCTTGGGCTACACCCATTTCAAACCTTTTAAAACAGTCTGTCTCATAACCAAAGAGTGTGGATTCCTGCAGTCACGAAAGCTCAGTGGGCCTTACCTGGTGAAATAAAAAAAGTTAAATTTTTTTTGTATAGTTTTATAGTTACAGACGTGACGTCTAAATCGCAACCACATCTCAAGAGCTTTTTCAGCTGAGTGGCGCTTGAGTTTTATGGATGTGCGCGTCGTGGAAGGCGAAGTTACGACTGCATTGGTGCGTCCCGGCTGTACGTACGAATACAAAAGACTGACGTTGAGTACATGAGACCCTTGGCGTGTTCTCGTACAGCACAGACACCTACAAGTAGCACAATGTGTGTGACGCTGTCGGAGAATAAATCACAAAACTAATCATCGTACTTGGTTACGTCGGTGTCAGGTGGCTCAGCGGAACAGTGAGAAGCTCCCAACCGAAAGGTTGAGAGTTCAGATTTCGAGTTTGGGGTTCACCCAACCCATCATCCATTCGAGGTCGATAAAATACACACCGCTTTGTAGGGGAAGTCGACAGCGGTTGTCGCATGGATAGACTCATCCCCACCATAAAAAGTGGAAATTCCACCGCTGACTTAGAGCTGTACACAAGAGATGAGCACTGCCTCAATGCTCACTTGAGCAGACAATCACTTTGACCCTTTCTTTTCGACACTCCTCTCCACTGGTTGACCAGTGGTAGCTGTGCTAGATTCATGTGGAATTGCAACGCTCTGCCCGAGTATTTCAAGAGTCTCGTCACAATGCCGTTGCTGCCACCACACATCGCCATCGCAGCCTTTCTTCTGCCATTGTCTTTAAAATTGATTGATCAAAGACAATGCATAAATTATCAGAGTATTGTTTTTTGTTTGCATTTGACTGCAAGTATTGTGGTTAATGTAAGCATGATTCCTTGCAAAAGGTGTCAGTTGCCAGAAAAAAGGGGAAAAACCCTATTAGTCGGTACATCGTTTATAATTGTTGTGGGCCTTCCTCAGGCTGTCACTTCAGTGCCTGTCTCGGTAACCTGCCCTCCTCTACCATGCGCACGCGTTCCTCCCAGCGCGACTTCCTCTCGTCAAGGTATAATCGTGGAGCGGTGTCACGAGTGTGGGCCCCATTGTCGTTCCAGCACTGGCAGACAGCGCCGCTGGGGACGGCGAGGCTGCAAGAGCCGTGCTGGATTGCGTGCAGCTCGCGGATGGCATGGCGCAACTGGCGCAACTCAAAAAGGTGGGGCCCTCTTAAATTGTCGAAACAATACGACAATAATGTTAGATAATCTAAATACATGTATTTGTTTATTCTGGAGTCCCGATGTCCGTTGTTCAGGAGTGGCTTGCTTGGGATGTACGTCCATCGCCGACGTGAACGAGTGCTTTGCTTTGTGTTATCCCCGTGCGTACACGGGGATAAGAAGCGGACATTCTTGCCGTGCTGTCTTCTGGCCACCGAGAAACTCGGCGGGTTTGGCAGTTTTACGAATCTATGTGATCCACCATCCCTTGTCTCCAAAGCGTTGGGCCACAGGCGTCCGTGAGCACGCGTACGGCCCGAGTTCGTTTCCTATCTGTGCCTGGCATGGATGGCCAGTGACAGCCGAACCAGTCCTGGGCCCCTCCAAGGTCACAAACCTGCGCCGACCAGCATGGCTGAGTTTGGTGAAACAAATCCCCACAACCAAGGGGTGGGGGGAGGCCTTCATGCAGCAATATATTGACGAAGGACTGTCTACTTTTGGTATTTAACACATTCCTGCGGATGGAGCTGGTAGGAACGTTGGGTTGCTCGGTCAATGGCCTGCAGGGTCAATGGTGGCGTGGTGTATTCCGCAAATATGGCCGACTGTGAGGGCGGGCACAAGCCGGCGTGAGTAGGTTAAACGTTTAGTTTTAAAAGGGCACCACGGAGTGACCAGCCCCTCCCCACCCAGCCCCACCTTCCCCACCCTGCCCCTCCCCACCCTCTCCACCCAGCCCCTCCCCACCCAGCCCCTCCCCACCCTCCCCTCACCAACCAGCCCCACCCTCCCCACCTAGCCCCTCCCCACCCTCCCCTCCCCACCCAGCCCCTCCCTCCCCACCCAGCCCCTCCCTGCACGACGGACACAATAATCCCCTGTGCGCTGGTGCAACCAGGAGGTTCCTACCAGTATAAATGTACACACGTACACAAAACAAATGAACATGCACACAAAAGACAAAGATCCCCTGTATAGCCTGACTGTTGGGGCAAGTGCTGTTAGCGAGCACCTATGAAGGCGGGCATGGCACATGAGGGGTGGGTAGCCAGCACTAGCCCAGCCGCCTTTGTCTCTCAAGTGGCGATGTTTACACACCACACCAGGTACTTATTTGAGGCTGAGTCGACCTAGGGGAGGCCCAGGACCGGTTCAGATAATCGTCACTGGTGGTGACCGCGAATGGTAATGGAACTCGGGTTACCGGGTTTCGAAGTGCAGGGTGCTAACCACTACACCACCGCTCCCCACGCATGAACATTCACGCACAACTCCATGCTGCCAGTAGGGGGCAGTGCAAGTTTCTGATTTCGTCAACAGCATTGGTGCCCATCCTCTGTGGAGCCGCGGAACTGCCACTGCCAAGCCGCACGAGTTGTTGCGCTGCTTGTCGTCGTGCTCCGACAGCATACTTTTCAACATTTCTCCAAATGCTTGTGTCTGCAGCCGTTTGACGGACCACTTCCCACAATTCTAGATTTGAAGCTTTTGTGACTGCAAGGATTCATATTCTTAGGTTTTTTCGGTAAAGTCACGTAGATAAAAAAATTAAAAATAATAAAAGTAAAATAAGAATAAAATAAAAATCACGACGTTTCGGAGGCAACACAAGCTTCCGTCTTCAGGTGGAACTGTCACAGCATGATGCTGTATCAAGTTGCTGTATCAAGTGATACAGCAAGCGTGCTGTGACGATTCCACCTGAAGACGGAAGTTTGTGTTGCCTCCGAAACGTCATGATTTTTATTTTTATTTTACTTCCCACAAGCCTTGCGGACCACGGGTTGGGAACCACGGTGGAGCTTGTTTCTTCTCCAGTAAACGTGGCCTTTCCCCGGCCGTTCGAGTTACAAGATACTCTAGAAACTCCCCTCCCGTGGGCGTCGAGGAGGAGGTGCCATGCTCTGGCTCGCAAGGAGAGGCTGGTACAGCAGCATGATGTTAATTACCTCGCCTGGTATACAGGAGGTTGAGGTTTTGATCCCGACTCTGATGCCTGTATAGTTGGAGTTTGCATGTTCTCCCCGTGGTCATGTGGATTTTTCTCCGGGTCCTCTGGTTTATCCCTCGACATTTAGAAACGTGCGCTTTGGAGTTTTTTGTTGCCATACATTTCCACGCGATAAGCCACTTCTTTGTTGAGCTATCATTTGTGATAACCAGGTCGCTTCTGAAAAAGTGGGCCTTACCTGGTAAAATATTTATTTTTTTGTAGTTTTATAGTTTAATATAATCTCTCTCTTCATGTGTATTCATTTTCTCCGGGCGCTACAGTTTCCTCCCACATGCATAAACACTCATTTATCGGCTGAATTTTAGTTTATTATTATATATATAGGACTGCAGAGCTTGAGAAATGGTTGGCACCGGCTCACCGACTGGCTGCCTTCCAGCTTGTCCGTGGTCGCTCGGCGATCTTGGGATGCAAGTCGCACGGACGGCGACGATGACGACGACGCTATTTAAAGCTAATTATTATTAGAAATCTTCTTGGTTCTTTCGGTAAAGTCACGTAGAAGAGAAATAATAAAATAATACAAATAAAACATAATGAAATACAATTCTCACGACGTTTCGGCCACAACGCAAGCAGCCGTCCTCAGGTGAAGAACAGGGCTGTCGGAAAGACAGCGTATGAAACTTGCCAAACGTCCAAAAAAACCCTGCTAAGAAGATGAGACCCAGGTTTGCTTCCTGGAAAAATAAAGACTTCTCTATAGATGTATTACTCACCACTGTAAAACACCACATTGCAGATGCGATTTATGATGACCAAAGACACAAAGCAAACGCTAAACATGACTCACAGTATTCATATTCTTTGGGTCTTTCGGTAAAGTCACGTAGATAGGTTCAAAGAAAATAACAAAAAACTACGACGTTTCGATCGCAACACAAGCGGTCGTCATCAGGAAAAGGGGGGTTAGCTTCTAAAGACAAACTGTTTCTAAAAATGGCTTAATGGTAATTGGTTTTTTACCCTTCTATCTGGCAACAAAACTGACACCTTTTTTACAAGGAGTCATGTTTGCATAGACCACAATACCTGCAGTCATAATGCAAACAAAAAACATAATTATGATAATGTATGCACTGTCCTTGAAGTTGATTGCTCCACACCCGAGACAGCTTAAGTTAGAGCCTAGTCTCACATGGTGTTGGACCAGATGACGCCAAAAGGCGCACAACTCAAAGACAATGCAGTATGAGAGCTCGGGGTAAGCATTTACACCATTGGAACCTCATTTGCCATTAAAACTGACACCTTTTTTACAAGGAGTCAGTTTTGTTGCCAGATAAAAGGGTAAAAAAACAATTATCATATTTTTTACTGGCAAATGAGGTTCCAATGGTGGCTTAATGGTGTTAACAGTGCCGTTGCCTTTTTGTCTGGCAGGTGGGAGCTGCCCTGCAGAGGGCGAGCGAGAGGGCGAGCGAGAGGGCAAGCCACACGGCCAAGGGCGACCCGCCTGCGGGTTCCGAGAGCCACGTGGCACGCGAGGTGGCGTGCTGCTGCCTGCGCGTGCTGACGCTCGCGCACCTCACCGTGTCGTGGAAGAGCCCACTCAAGCGGGCTCTCGCCAGGTACCCTGCACGGACCCACGGCCGACTGTCGATCCAGCGTCGTTGACGTTCGCTCGGGTGGTGGTGCAATCGGTGACACGGCAAACGGATTTTACCGGTCGCTGGACGCAGCGGGGAAGTCTTGGGGCGCGGCAAGCGCGGCTGCCTTGACTTTCAGCGTGCATCAGGGGGCTTGAAGGAATGCGGCGCGACGTCTTCACATCGGAGAGATGAGTTTGTCTGTAATTATGTGGGTGGCTCTCTGTGTGGCCATGTCATCGAGAGAAAGAAAAAAAAACAAAGCACCTGGCACAGGTGTGTCATTAGCTGCACTTGGGAGACAAAGTAACGATGCTGGCCTTTCCAGGCCCTTGTTCTAACCGTAATTGATGGTTCGCTAAGAAAGCTTTTCCTGAGGTGGTTGGGTGGGTCAGAGGTCAGAGGGTTGAGCTGGCACCACCAAGATCCTGGATTCGAATCCAGTGGATCCGCTTGCGATCGAACCGGGTTCATAAGTGTCATTAGTTGATGGTCTCAGCCTTGTCGCAATATTTCTGCACAGAAAACCGTCACGTGAAGTTTGTTTCTGCACTTAATATGGCTAAATTCCAGCTCTAGGAATTAGCGAACGTTACTCTCGTGTGGCAGGGCAGGTGGGAAAGTGCCACGCGAGAAGGGTCGCACTTTCCTGCGGAAGATCCACGTGGAATCTTCGTGACGTGACATAATGGCACAATCGGGATGCAATTGAGGATAATTTTTGTTGACAAAATATACAAAAAAAAGAATGCTTGTGCCCACAGTATAACCAGGCTAACGAGCGGCTTTTTTTGCCGACCCCAGCCTGCTGGAGTCCCAGCGTGGCGAGTGGAGGGTCGTGGCCTGCGACGCCCTTGCCGGGCATGTGAGCGACGCTGTGGGGCGGAGCGGGCGCCAACCCGGTCAGGAGCCGTTGCCCGCGGACGCCTCGAGGCCGGGCTGGCTAGCGGTGTCCACGCTCGCCTGCTGCCTCGAAAACTTCCCGCTTGGTCAGTGCAGCGCCACTCTCTTCGCCTTTTATTTCTGTTGTCTCTCGACACCACCACCGCCACCACCACCACCCTCCTCTCTTTGTCACCAAATCAACGAGTCTGAACTCTTGCCTGATGTCTTCCTCGTGTTTTCCCCTGCAGGCGAAGAGGCCTTGGTGTCTGTGCTGTCCCCAGGTGTGTAACTGAAATGGGTGCTGTGTTCCTGTGAGCGTCGCGTAACTGTGCGCTTTCGTTCTCCGCCGCCCGTGGGTTTCTTCTGCACAAATCGCGATCGGCGCGCGCGTGTCCGTTTCGTTCCAGTTCTGGAGCTCCTCCTGGGCCTCCTGACCGACTCTGTCAACCGAGCCAGGTGAGACGCCTTCCTAAACAACACCCGGAGTTCGCAGTTGAGGTCGCGCGACGACAGAATCAGCGCAGCAAACAAGATGGCGGAGTCTTGGTCGACCGGATTAGCACACCGGTGAACGGAAATTAACTCAAGTAGGCATCTGACGAATAGGAGGAGACGTGTCACTTCTTATACTCGCGATTCGCGCGGTGCATCTTCCCTCTCAGAATCAATTGTCAATCATAAATGCAACTGACCTGAAGATGTTAACTTGGTGTTAATGACACTGAACAATCGACACGGAACATAAAACACAACATAAATGAGACGGTGCAGTACGTACAAGATAAGAAATAACCCATTACTGAAGTGAATCGTAACCTTGTATAATAATATATATAATAATATACTCGGGTCATAGGTGGGGAAGTGGGTTTCGTAATCGATACATGCTTGAACTTGAGCTAATCTAAAGTGGATAAGATGAAATCGGACGTTGATGCTGTGGTGTGTTGTTGATGCCGCCGCCGTGCGCTGCCGACGCCGTTGGGAGGGTGTTGTTATGCTGCTGCTGCTGCTGCTGCGTTGAGGGAGTGCGCAGGGAAAGCGGCGGAGCGGACCGCGTGGATGCACGAGGCGCAGGCGGCGGTCAAGACGACGATGGTGCTGCTGCAGAAGGCACTGGGGCGCCTAGCGAAGGCTCAGGACGAGGACTCGATGTCGCTAGGGACAACCAGCGCAGGCTTTCTCCGCTGCTTTGTGGACATTCTTTCTGATGGTGAGCCGTCAGTAACGCACTGAAGTTAGCGACGATAACTAAACAGGTGAAATTATGAACGTAGCCGAATTTATTCATCCAGGTAAGTATCACCGAGTCTGATTTTTCATGAGGGTTCTGCAATGGGATGTTTGGCCAGTTCACTTTAAGAATTGTTAAACACGTTTTGGAGAATACTGGCGTACCTGGGAAGAATTACGTGGAGATGACACTCTCCAAACTCCTCACAGACAGCGACTGGAACCCACTTTGGGTGCTGCCGCCATTACCTCTTCACATCGCAGGCCAGCAGGCTTGGGAGAATCACATCCACCTCTAAAGTGCTGAAACACGGGCCTACACAGCCCCCAATATTTACATACATTACCAGATGTTGTGTAATTAAAACGTACACGTGTTCACATTTTAATATATTCATGCCATGCCGAATCTCCTCACCGCCCCTAATAGTGCAGCTGAATGACCGATATTTTCCAGCCGTGTGCAAATCAAAATCAAGTCCCTACACGTTGCACACGCCCGATGGTTGGTGACCGCAGAAAAATGCGCCGGGGGACGGGCGTGAGAGCAGCACCAATGTGGAGGAACTTGCGAGCATGAGACCTGAACTCTACCGTGAGCCATGCGGCTCACGGTAGAGACGTACACAGATGTCTGTTGCTAAGTCTGAAAGTCGCTCACTGACGGCCCTTAATGCCGCGCTGACACGGCGCTGTGCCGTTGGCGGTGGCTACGTCGGGGGGAGTCGTGAAGGCGTGTGTTTGTGTTGGGTGCGGGGGAGTGCCTGTGTGTGTGGTGGTGGTGGAGGGGGGGGGGCTGGCGTGTGAGGTTTGAAGGATTGATCGGTAGGAACTGCTTTGTCTCTGCGGTGAAACGTGAGCCGTTCGATGAGGGGACGGGCAGACGCCCAAGGGGGGAAGGTGGACGAGGGGGCCGGGGCCAAACAGGAGGATGAGCTCACGACACGACACACACGCCTGCGTCCTGCTGTTGGCGCGTTAACACGTAACGCTTGAACAAAAAACGACGAAAACAACAGGGGAAGCTCTTACCGTCTTGGTCGAGCAAAGAGCCCCCCCCCTCCCCCCCGTCCCCGCGCTAAACCCCATGGGTGCACGGCCGGCCGCATCCTGTCGGTGCCCGTCGTCCGAACTCGGGCGCTGTAGCGCATTCTCTCTCCGGTCTCGATTTGATGAACTGCCACGGGTTGGGGCTGCGATTCGAGTCGTAATAATGGGTTCTTGTCGTCGTTAACTTTGTGGTGGTGCGTTGTCATCACCTCCAGTGGCTGCAGGGGGTCGTGTGAAATAATTGTTCGTAAGATCCGAATGGAAATACTCCATTCTCGCACGCGCACACTAGTCACCGCACGCATCGTGAGCGCAAATAAATGCTGTTGAATGGATGGCTGATTACTCACCAGCCAAGCGTGTGTTCAAACTCAAGATATGAAACCCGCACCTCTGTTTATAACAAAAAAATGCAAGAAGTTGGGAGGGTTTGCAAAGAGGTGATTTCCTTCTGTTGATCAAGTTTGGCGTTGTGGCAACATTCTCTGTGGAAAGAGGATAAAGAAAGATCCCCCCCCCGTGTGTATGTGTGCGAGCGCGCATGCGCACGTGCGCAGACAAAAGGGGGATGAATTCTCCCATTATCAGCAGGACAGGGAGAGGGGCTGCCATTGAAAGCCATTGAGGAAACTCTCCCAGGCTCTCTCTGCATTGCAGAACAGCGGTGACCACGCAAAAGCGAAAGAAATAAAAAAACACTGCTGCCAATGTCCTTGTCCACGCTGTGAATTTTGGCACGGTCGGCAGTATTCAGCGGTAATCTCGGCATTACAAACAATACCCGTAGCCCACACGGAGCAGCAGTAATGCTCGGCAAACTGAACCGTGACCTCCGGCCTTAGCCCTAAGCACTGACCGCCGCACTCCGTGTGAATGCCTCAACACGGCCATTGATTCGCAATCTGCTGGCATTGACGCGTTTAGTTTTTTCCATCCAATCTCCGTTTTTTTTGTGTGTGTTTTTAAACGGCAGAGTCGTGACCTCCCTGGGCCCCCACTGTGGTGGGCGGTGGCGAGGTCACGCCCGTGAGCGCCGGGCGATTATCCTGCCAGAGCGACCCTTTTAAAGGCGCCCGTCCCGTTTGCGCGCTCGCGGTTTTGGTTTTTGCCCGGGCTTATTGTCTCCGGGAGATGATGGGCCAAAGAAAAAAATACTGCCATTTGTCTAAAAGGTTTTTTGGCGATGTGTGGAGAGAGAGGACAGGTGATGGAAGGATGGAGCTTGGGGGGGAGTTGAAATGGGAGTGAAAGGTGGGGGTGGACCTGAGGAGTTGGGCCATAAGAATCTGCTTCAGCGGCATTTTCGCTTGGGCATCATTCTACCGTTGATTGCAATGGTTGATCCGCTTTGACCAACAGACATGAACAGAGGCTCTTTTACGAGGTTATGCAGGAGGGGCAAAATCAGTTCTCAAAGAAAAGAATCTTGCATGAACTGTGACGGCGGAGGTTCGTTCCATTCCTCCGAGTGCTAATCCTGTTCGCGAAAACAAAACGACTCTAGAGGATGGGTTTAGGGGTCACAATGGCAGAGACTCTGGAAACTCATTAGTGGCAAAGCTCCGACTCGGCCACACATTCTCCCCCGTCCACCTGGTGCTCTCATGCCACCAAGACCGCCCCCCCCCCCCCATCCCTTAACACACTCTGATCCAGTGTGGTCAACTGTGGTTGACTTGCAGACTGACGGGCTGATACTTTAAAAAGGCAACGCTTGCAAAACACCCCTTAAAAATAGAACTCGCCGTACAACCAAAAGGGGGTAATTGTACTCACCGAGGCTTTCCTGGGTAAATAAATGGCTCTATTGTGATCATGATATGAATGGCATTCATTATTGCTATCCGACGCGATAAAGTTGCCTTGGAACATGATGCGGGGGGGAGCTGCCCCGTGTGTGACGCGTTGACCCCACGCATCCTGTCGATCTCTCCGGGTGACCCCCCCCACCCCCCCCACCCCCCCCCCCCACCGTGGCAGCCGGGTTCCTGCGGACGTGTCGTGCGGCGGCAGGCATGGCCGCGGTGCTGCTGCTGCTGTTGGGCCCCGACACAGCGACGGACCCAGCTCCCCTGGTACTACCACCGGCTCCCAACGTCCGCCTCCCCTCCATCCTCACACTCCACCTTCACTGCTCTCCCCTCTTGTGGAAAGTGAACTTTTATGACCAACCGTGTGTTCGCGGTGAAGGCTTCCCACTTGGCACCTTTGCTATCCAATGCCATCGTTTGCTGTCCCCTCTCTGCACTTCAGCCCATCCCGTCTCCTTCCACCTCTAGGAACGTCACATCTCTACTTGTCTTCCTCGTCTCCTTTGATGGATTTCTTCTATATTTGTACAGCGTCTTGAGATGCGGTCGCATTTGAGCACTACGTAAATCAATATTGTGTTGGATTATGTGCCAAGTTGCAAAAGCAAGCAATGCATAAAGGAAGCTCAGTGGCTTTCGATTTAAAGCTTTCGTGGCTGCAGGGATTCATATTCTTGGTTCTGAATCCCTGCAGTCACGAAAGCTTTAAATCGAAAATTTAACCGCCTCTACGGTAAGGGTTTCCACGTAACTCTGAGATACCCTTACTTCCCTTCTACGTGACTTTACCGAAAGAACCAAGAAAATGAAGCTCAGTGGGTCGCGACGGTGGTTGTTTATTTATAGCCGTATCGAGTCGATTCTGCAGTCTCGCCGTTTGATCGCACAGCCGAGGGTTTTCCATTCCTGCTCCCCACCCTGACCCGAAGCTCGCGCTGGCGCTGTTGGGCTCACGGGAGGCGGGCGCCAGCGGCGGCGGCGGTGGCGCGGTGCCTCTCCCGGCGTGGGCGAGCGATGGCTTCCAGCGCTTGTGCGACGTTGTCGCCTCCGTGAGTCTCCCCTTTGTGCACGAGCGCCACTCCGTTGCTTATTGTTGTTGGGTAACTGCAAACTCTGGCTGCCCGACGCCGTGCTGATCCCCTACTCATTCGTAGTTAATAATGACATTATTGTCGTGTAGCGGTCCAGATTGAAACCCAAAATGACAAAAGGGAAGTGGCACAGGCCGTCCGTGGTGATGGAGGAGCGGCGGGAACGGCTGTCGCGGGTTTTGCAGGACCGGGAGACGTGGCTGAGCGTGTGCCACGGGACCCTCGCGATGCTTGACTGGGACGTTGCGAGCGGCCCCCAGCTGCACCTGCTGCTTCGCGTCCTGCGGCCCCTGCTGGAGCTCGCTGCTGGGTGAGCGCCCCAGCTCCAGGGCGCCCGATGGAATGTGACGTCTCTGCACTTAAACTTGCTGCTGCGCAAACACAGCGCAGCTGGCACCGCTGGGTAGAGATGAACCTACCGGGAGTGCACTCGGCACGCTTTGGTCCGTAGATTTCAAATGGGCTTTTTTATTCAATTGCACTCCTAATTATTGATTACTGAATAGTAGATGCATATATTATGCTGATGTTACATTTAGGGCTACGCAGTGTACTAAAGAGATGTGAAAAACACTCAACAAAAAATGAATATTAAATTTCATTGTGACCCCCACCCCCAATTGTGACAATTCAGGCAATTCCTAGAGGACGGATGGAATAGTTCCATGTCTCCTGTTCATCCAGCAACACACTTGGGGTTCAGGCCCTGATGAGTTTAATATGACATCCACTCTCGTTGTTTCCTGACCGAGCAAAGTCCTCCCTGCCCACCGTTCCATCCAGATCCCAGGAGCCCAGTGCTGCGCTCACCCTCGCCCGAACTTTGACGCTGTGGACGGCCTCCGCCCTCGCGGGCCTGGGATCCGAGGCGGCGAGCGCGACGCCGCTCCTGCGCTCTGCGCTGACGGGCAGCGGCCGCTGCGACGAGTTCACCTCGCTGTCGCCCACCCCGTGCGATTCGTCGCCCCGGCCACCGACGTCCACGCCAGCGGCGGATTCGTCGTCCTCTTCGGCGGAGATGCGCGCGGCCGACCTGCTGGTCGAGCGCTACGTGTGGGCCAACCTGGACCACCCCCTGGACGGCGTGCGGCACGAAGCGCGGCACATCCTCGCCAACCTCCTGAGGGCCCACCGCGCCGCCGTGGTCCCGGCACGTCCCTCTTCGCTCGGATCCGGCGTCGGCGGAGACGCGGCGGCGAGCCCGGTGGACGGGCTGGCGCGGGGCGTGGCGCGTCAGACCCTGGCGCTTGGCTGGCGGTGCCGGGCGGCGTTTGGCGCGGCGCGGGCGCTGATCGAGGTGCAGGGCCCCTCCTGGCTGCTGGCGCTGGCTCCTGGCACGCCCCGCGGCCTGCTGGTGGCGGCCGCCGTGGACCCCGCCATGTGCCCGCACGCGGCGGACGTGCTCGGGTCGATGAGTCGCGCTCACCTCCAGGAGATCGGCCACGGTGCGGAATCGAGGGAACGGCAGGACGGTAAAAACAAAACCTCTGACTTGATCAAGTGTGCCTTGAGCGGTCGCTCTAGCTAAGCTTTAAAATCGATTATTTTATACCTGCATTGAACTGTGTAAGTAAGGATCAATTATTAGCTATGCACGCAAATTATACACTGTTCCTTGAACTTAATGGATATAATATGATCCCCGAATTGTGAGAGTCCTTTTAAATTGGAGCGATTCGTCACTTTGCTCAACCCCGACCACAGCCAGGACTGCGACGTTTAAAGAGCCGCGCCGCCCTGCTGCGGTTGCAACCCAGGTAACAATGACCCTGAACCTGCGACGCCGCAATCGACACGGCCTGCGCCCTTTTTTCAGTCGATGGCGTTGGCATTGGGGGCGATTTCGCGGACCCTTGGCTGCGCACGTGGGTGTCTCCGCTCCTGGAGGTGCTGTGCGCGCCGACGTTGGGAACGGGCACCGCGGAGGAGGGAGACGGAGCGGAGGGAGACGGAGCGGAGGGAGACGGAGCGGAGGGAGACGCCGACGCGGAGACGGGGAGGAGTCGCGTGGTGGAGCAGTGCCTCCCACGGCTGCTCCAGTCCAACCCGGCGTGCCTGGCTCTCACTGTGCAGGCCCTGCAGGCGCGCCAGCCAGGCAAGAGATGCCCACAATACAATTACAACACGACGTGTACTTACGGTAGAGTCTCCACGTGACCGTATTTTTAGACGGTGGGAGATAATTAGTTTGCAGCGAGAGAGAGGTGGTCACGGACACAGGAGGTAAGGAGCCTGGACGTAGGCAGGGGCAGGAAGTGTGCAGTACAGATGGCTGGGGGAAAGGGAGTTCCAGACTCACAGCAGAATGATCTCTCACAGGGCAGGCGCCTTTGAAAACAACTCTCACACTGTGGGATTGTGACACCAAGAAAGTTTGTTTTTGAACACGTGCACATTGATCAGGCTGCCTGTCAGCCGAGATAAATGTATGGAGGATGGCACAAATTCGTCACGTAATACCTAATACCCGACCAGTGGTAAAGCGGCCAGCATATCATCATGGAATATACTCACAATGCATGGACTGTACCCACAATGCACAGGCAGCCTCTCGGATTAGTGGGTGTGGTCACGCCTGACCTACTGCGCTACCGCTCTCCACACTCAAAAACAAAGATGCTACGTACAGCCAGCCAGACTGTCGGGACCAGTGCCCACAGTGAGCACCTGTGAAGGGTCGCGCGGAATACGAGCTGAAGGCGTCACCAGCATCACTTGTGGCCGCCTTTATCTCCCCAGTGCCAATGTTCGCCAGGTCATCATTTCTGGAGAGGTCCCAGGACCGATTCACTGATCTTAGCCATCGAATTCGGTCGGGTTCCTGGGTTAGCAACGCAGCGCGTCAAACCACCGCACCGCCGCCGCGCTCCCCGTCCCTCCGACCGGTGCCGCGTGTTGCCCCGCGGGTGCAGGCGGCCGGGGCAGCCTGGGCGGGCTGGTGGCGTGCCTGCGGGCAGCGGCGCGGTTGCGCGGCTGCGCCAGTGCCGGGCACCCGGACGGCGAAGCGAGGGCAGCCGCTCCGGACCGGCTGCTGCTCGGCGAGGATCTGATGGAGCGAGCGCTCGCGCACCGATGTGACCAGGTTTGTGTCGCGCTCGGTCGACGCGCTCATCCCGGCCGCCGAGGTTACGGGTTCCTCGGTAGCCAGCCGGGTCCGATCGCGACTGTGAATGGGCCGCGGTGCCGCCACCCCCTATTGCTCGTTTGGTTGGAGCGTAAGCGTGAGGGCTCGCGAAGCGATGAAAATACAATTTGTCAGGCGTGGAAGGATTCGTGAATGGATATCGTGCTCGCGATACGTGCATCGGATCACGTGCGCAAGAATAGATTATTTTTGTGCACATTCTGCACACGTTATGTTCAGGATGATTGGTGAGATTGTATTAATGAGACGGAACAAACGAGAAACATACAAATGCAATGGTAAAAAGAAGACGAGAGAAGCAACTTGTTTATTCATATATTTGCGACTGAATCGGGAGAGTTCATTGCTTGGCGGGGGAGACTGGGAAAGGGCAAGGAGACGATTCGTGACATTCTGCCGTCTCCCCACATCCCATGCAAGTTACGCACATCACCCAGCCCACGCGGCAATGACGCCGCCGCCACCGCCGTCGTTGCGCCTCCGCCGCACGTGACGCGGCTCCACGTCCCCCGCGTCTTCGCCAGGTTCGCCTGGATGCGCTGGCGCTGCTGTGCGAGAGCGTGCGCGCCACGGAGCCCGTGGTGCCGCGCGAGCTGGCGCTGCTGCGCACCGCGCTGCCGCTCGCCCTGCCCAGCTGCTCGGCAGCCACGCGCCGGGCCACGCTGTCACTCCTACGCAAGGTGCGATCGCATCACCACGGGTGCCATTACCTCTGGCGGGCGCTCGCTCGCGATTGCCGCGTCTGCCGAGTTTACTCTAATCCTTAACCCCCATCTAGTTGTTTGGTTTGTTGTCCTTCATGCCGAGCGTGCGTGTGTGCGTGTGTCATGCCGAGTGTGCGTGTGTACGTGTGTACGTGTGTCATGCGGAGCATGCGTGTGTGCGTGTGTCATGCGGAGTGTGTGTGTGTGCGTGTGTCATGCCGAGTCTGCGTGTGTGTGTGTGTCATGCCGAGCGTGTGTGTGTGCATGTGTCATGCCGAGCGTGCGTGTGTGCGTGTGTCATGCGGAGCGTGCGTGTGTGCGTGTGTCATGCGGAGTGTGCGTGTGTACGTGTGTCATGCCGAGCGTGTGCGTGTGTCATGCCGAGTGTGCGTGTGTACGCGTGTCATGCGGAGCGTGCGTGTGTGCGAGTGTGCGTGTGTCATGCGGAGCGTGCGTGTGTGCGTGTGTGTTGCTGGGGCTGTTGCCCACAGCTGTTGCTGCGCATGCGGGACGGAGCGCTCGCTTGGCTCCGGCAGTCGGGCTCCTCGCCGCATCATCGACACGGCCCGCCGGGAGTGGACGGGCGGCGCCCGCACGTCGGCCTGCAGCAATATCGGGTGAGCCGACCGGGCGGCACCTTGACAAACCCTCGCGCCCACACCAAAATAAAATCAACCTCGCCACGTCTGTCACGATAACAGACAACAAACAAAGCAGATGAATGTTGCCGGCTAGGGGGCCGCCCTTGTTGGGTGGCGACGCAGTGGCTCCGGATCAGGGACTTGAGGCTTGCCATATATTTGTTTTCGATTACGAGGCAATGGCATTGTTGTTGATTTGTCCTCGTGCTCCACTGCCAACACAGCGGGGGGCCCACTCTTTACTCGCTCACGCGGCTTGTGGGTGCCAGGCGATGGTCCCCGCCAACATTGCAGTTTGTCGCTTCTCCTCTTCCCGCCGCTGACGGACGACCCCCAGGAGTTTCTCTTCTGGCTGAGCGACGTGTCGTTCGACGCCCTGTTTCCCGGAGCCTCGTTCCCACGCAAGTTCATGGCGCTGAGCATGCTGGGATTGCTCGAGGAGGTGTTCCCCGACTTCCCAGGTGAACGCTCCATATTCTCCCCCCGCCCCTCACACCCACTCGTACTTACCGACCAGTTAAGTAAATAAATACATTCTCAAGTTCTCTCGCTTGTGGTGTGCATCCCATAGACGTGTAGGTGTTTTCCCCTTTTAAGTGGTGTAACTTCGTTTCATTTCTAATATGGCTGTTGGAGTGGAGCGGTGATGTGGTGGTCAGCGCGCTGCTCCAATGAACCTGGCAAACCTTGGTTCAATTCCCCGCCACTGCTGACATCATTGGCGGGCGATATCTCAACCGGTCCCGAGCTCCCCTTCACCACCCCAGCGTGGTGAAGTTTGGTGAAACAGCACCATTGACTGACTGTGGTGTTCCGGACGCCTTTGTCCGGCATTGGATTGCCACGTACACACTTGCGGGCTTGATGAAAGTCTACAATCATTGCAATAATAATTAATTCGTAGCTCCACGAGCGTTTCACGAGATAACGAGAGTTTCTAGTTTTTTAAAACGATTCAAAACCCTCGAGCTCCGAGCGCGTGAGGGCGCCGGCAAAGTCGTCGCGTCGCGCCGGCAAGCAGTGACCGTCAGGCCAGACGGTCGTTTTGAGCCCGGCTCTCCGCGCTGCCGTCTGGCGGTGCAGGGTTCAGCCTGGCGGAGGCGGTGACGCCGGAGCGAGCCCGCGTCCTCCTCGGCTGCCTGGCCGACAACTTCCCCGAGGTGAAGCGGCTGGCGAGCGCCCTGCTGCAACTGCTGCCAGCCCAGCGGCTCGGGCTGCAGGTGCGTGATGCGTGCCTCTCTTGATACGTCAAGATGCACGTCGGTCGGTGAATTGAAGCGTCGCTATGCGACAAGTAAATGGCATTGCCTTCAGATAAAACGTGCTCAAGGCACCGTGGCATGGAGTGGCTTGGCAGCTGTGTGTGGTGGTAAGAGCGGTGGGGAACGGTAGCGTAGCGGATAGCGGGCTCCGCTACGAACCCGGTGGTCCGAGTTCGATTCCCGCTCACGGCCAACACCGGTGACGATTATCCGAACCGGTCCTGCGCCTCCCCTAGGTCGACTCGGCCTCAATGAAGTACCTGGTACTTAAATGACCAAGGTGCTCTGCAAATCCTCGGGCTACCATCAGAGATTTGTTCATGAAGCCATCCAGATATAAAAACACAGACAAAGCTTTCATCGAGAAGATGGATTCAGATTGAGCAATCATTAGAAGGACGTGATAAACCATGTCAAGTTTCAACTGCTGTGATTCTCACTTTTCCACCCGTGCTGTTTTCGTTTACTAATTCAAGCTCATTGACATGCTAATTTCTCCAGCCCCCACCCGTCCCTGCACGCCACAAACCCTCCCCCCCTCTCCCCCGTGAACTCCTGCAGCCACGACTCTACAAACCCCCCCCCTTCCCCCCCCTCCCGTGCCTATATAGAGCCACAACAGCAGATCATTCTTTCTCACCTGATGACGGACGCTTGTGTTGCGACCGAAACGTCGTTTTCTTTTTTTTTTCTATCTACGTGACTTTACCGAAAGAACCAGAGAGTATGTACCTGGTGCGGTGTGTAAACATCGGCACTTGCAAGACAAGGCGACCGGGCGTGGTGCTGGCCCACCCACCCCCTCGTGTGCCATGCCGGCCTTCATAGGTGCTAATCGCCAACAGCACTTGCCCCAAAAGCCCGTTCATGCTATACGGGGTATATTAGTCTTTGGTGGTAGGCGTCACATTCTCACCACGTGCGCGCGTGCGTGCAGACGGAGGAGTGCCTCCGCTCCCTGCTGGGGGTGGCGCTGGCTCTGGCCTCCAGCCCGCGACCCTCCGACCCCTCTACGGCCGCTCCCCTGCTGGCCCTGCTCGTGCGCTGGGCCCCCCACGCCGCCCTGAGCCGCGTGCTCCCCCAGCACACGTCGGTAGGCGACGCCTTCCCGCACCCGGGGATGTTCCAGCATCTGTGGTCCACAGTCATTCAGCAGTTGAACGTCTGTATGATGGATGACGCTACCATTTAATTTCTGAGCACTGAGTGGGGGGTGGGGTCAGACAGGGGAATATGGACTGTAGTGACGAGAGAGAGAGACGTGGAGAGATACAGGGAAATGGATGTAGAGCGAGAGAGACAGATGGACATTGAGAGAGACAGACACATGGAGGAAGAGTGATACAGAGACACAGAGAGGACGAAGAAAGACGGACATTGAGCAAGAGACAGCGGGACATGGAGAGACGCAGACAGAGAACAAGAGAGGCGACACACATTGAGGCAGGCAAGGCGAGACACGGGACACTGTTTGACGGTCCCTTTCTCGAGGGCCATGTGCTCGTACAGTTGTTACAGTGTATCTATGTTGAACTTCTTTCGCACCGTACAGAGCCAACCTCGCTACTAACCGTGCTACTAACTGCCCATCACGACTAAAGTCTGCGCGAGAGCCGCTCCTGCCCCATGGACGGGAGAAATAAAATGCTCGCTCCGGCTCGTGTGAGCATGCGTTCGTCTCCGTCGCCCCCCCCCCCCCCCCCCCCCGCTAGGAGGACGGTGTCGAGCAAACGTGTCCAGGAGGGCGAGGCGTGGGAGAGGTCACGGGGGCAGATGCCGTCTCTTCAGCCTCCCAGCCGGATGGGGTCCAAGACAAACCAGGCCGCAGCCTGGAGTCCAACACGCTGGCAGGTCTGGTTTGCACGGTGGCTGCACCGCCGGCACCGGTGACCCGGCCCGCCGTGGTGCGGTCAACGCCGAGCGCATTCACGAGCCGGACGGAAATGGCGTAGTCATTTGGCGACGACTGGCAGAAATCCCGTGTCGTGCACACAGAATTTTTTTTTTTATGTGGGTGACGAAATAAAACGTTCCCGTAGCTGATGCTTTTGAAGGGTTAGTTTGTGGGGCTGCCCATGGGCATCAACAGTGCAGCAGTGTGGAGTGTGCGTATGTGAGTGTTGCATCTGTGTACAGGACGTGTGTGTGTGTTTGACAGTTTAGCACAGCGGAGAGCACTTTTGCATCTGCCAGTCAGTCTGGTCTGTTAATCAACAAACGACTGCCTTTGTCCTGTGACTTGCAAGAAAGCCTTCGGCACTCTAAAGTGCGCCCAGCCTTGCACAACAATCATGGCAAGGGGCCATCCATTTAGTACTTAACGCAAAAATCTGTCAAAACTTGACCCCTCCCCCCCTCCTTGTACGTACGCGTACTTTTTACACCACCCCCCCCATCACCTGCGTACGTACATGATGCACCCCCCCCTTCCCCCGTTTCCTATGTGTACTTACATTGTCAGTAGACCCCCCACACGCAAGCGTACGCATTTGGGTTAACCCCCTTCTCCCCCCTCCATGCGTACGTACTAAATGGATGCCCCCTAACTCTACCGCCAGTGCCGAATGGTGGTGCGGATGCGTGCGCGATTATTAGGATTATGAATTGCATTCGGCACTGAAACGATATAGTGCCTCAAAGTGCCGTGTGTGTGCGCGTGTACAATGTGACCTGTGGCCCCGTGGTTTGCACGCTCTGCTACAAACCCAGCGACCTGGCTAACATCAGTGGCGAGTAATATCGGAACCAGTCCCGGGCCTCCCCCTGCGTCAACCCGCCCTCAAATCGGTGCATGGGTGCAGTCGCGTGCAACGGACACCGACACCGGGGAGATAAAAGTATTCTGGTCGTGGTGCTGATGCCGCCGCCCGTTGTCTTTGTCGTCGGCATCGTGCCGCTGCAGTGGTGGGCATGCTGGTGTCGGGCCTGGAGGCCGACGTGGCCGTGGCTGAGCACAGCCTGCTGGAGGCGGCGGGCACGCGGCCCATGTACGGTCGCCTGCACGCGGCCGCTCACCTCCTGCACGGCACCCGCCCGGGGTGAGTTTTCTGGACCGGCGCGAGACCGCTCGCTGTACCGATACTGGGGGGGGATTTGGGTTTCTCCTGGGGCCTGCAAGCATGGCTCAGTCGCCCTCGCCGTTTCATTTCCCCCAAGTGAAAGCCGCGTGCTGCGGAACATCCGCTCCGTGTAGAAATGCAATCTTTAAATCCTCAACCCGTCGTGCTGTCGGCATCGTACTGTCACGCGGAGAGTGGTGGCGGCGTGCCGCGTTCGAGAACGGCCTCCGGAAGGTGACGTCACTGAGGTCCGTTCATTTGCCTCTAATCCACACGACGTAGTGCCTGCCACCTACCCGCCTGTCCTGCTATATAGAGCTTAATACTTCATGGCCATCCAACTATTGGAATAAAGCAATAGTTAAAGTTCAAACAAAATCTTCTTGGTTCTTTCGGTAAAGTCACGTGACTTTACCGAAAGAACCAAGAAGATGAATCCCTGCAGTCACGAAAGCTTTAAATCGAAATTCAAACAAAATGTCACCGTCATTGTTTTTTCATGGTCAATGGTTATCTGACTGGTTCGCTACATTTGGGAACCTGGTTTCTGCATGCGACGGGAAGCTAATGTGCCCGGAACAAACACGGATTCCAGTGGATTGCGCTCAAACTCCATGCCCATCAATCACCTACTTGCAGTTTTGTCTCCTGGCCGGTGCCACTTTGTTGTTCACTAGGTGGTGGTGGTGGTGGTGGTGGGGGGTGTCTCGCAGGTAATGGGTCCACCACTGCCTGGTCCACCAAACCCGCATCGCTCGCCACAGGTGCGCATCTTGGCCATCACTCGGGGCTTGTGATCTATCATTTGTGACCAGGTCGCTTCTGAAAAAGAAGCTAATAGCTCAGTGGGTTTCACCTGGTAAGATAAAAAAAAAATTGGTTTATAAAAAAATTGAAGTGATTTGTTTACCTTTTCTATACTTTGCACTCCTATTGCATTTTTTGTTTGTTTTGCTCGTCGTTGTAATGTTCTGACCTGCCCCTGCTGGACATCTGTGACAAAGAGCTTCACAGCTCATCGGATTCCTCCAGTCGAAGTAAATCATCTGATGGATTCTAATTCGGCGGCATTGGCTGTTGCAGCTCTCTGTGCGCCGAGCCCGCGTGGCAGCACCTGTTGGAGAGGCTTCTGTCAGCCGCTTGGCGCGTGTCCCGCATCGCCTCCCGCGTCGTCAACAGCTCCTCGCCCGAGGGCTTCATCCCGGACCGCCCCGGCACCGGTGAGACCCCGTGCTCTGGACGCCCCCCCACCCCTAACGCCACCAACACCGCCGCCGCCAATCTCGGCGTTTTGCCGACGCGTCGCCGTGCTCGGCGCTTGCGAGCCGGGAAGTTTGCTCGAGTGCGCGGTTCACGTTGTCGCGGAGCGGCGGCCGCTCGCGTGAAGCGTACAGCGATACCTGCAGCGCCGACGGGCGGTGGAACGAAAGGAGATCGCATTCGAATTCATCGCCCGGCAAGCAGCAGGAGTGCACGTGGTGCTTCCTGCCGTTGCCTGCTCAGCCGCAATCAGTGCCCATTAGAAATATATCTTTGTTAACTTTACTCGGCGAACAAAAGGAATGTAATTGTTGAAAAGACGCAGGTCTAGAACACAACAGGGTATGTACGTACATATCCACAGCAATTATAAATATTCTGCCAAGAGCATAAAATGTCAAATCGGCGCGTATTACCTGCCCATTACAAGCTGGGAATGCACACCGAGAGACACTGAAAGCAACACGAGGATTCGAGAACAAATGATAATTAGACTCCTTATTGGCCGTTAAGAAGCCGCGCTCGCTTGAGAAGAACACCGCCACTGCCGGGGATGAGACTGATGAAGGAATGGCGACGACACCAGGGAACAACAACGTGCCCAAGAGGATGACCAACGTGGAGGAGAAGGAGGAGGAGGGATATGATCAGCTCATACACAGGAGCAGCGAGATGGATTTCAACACGGCAGTGATGGCAACGGCATGAGCAGCCTTTCATCCAGCAGTGGATAAGTAATGGCTGACAATTTCTAATGGCACAAAAAAAAATGCGCTTCTGTTAGCCGCAGATGGCCACAAATCGCTGCCGAAGGAATCTTCCAACGGGCAAGCGCAGGACAACTCGGCCGCATGTGCCAGGGGTCCTTCTTCTGTCACCGGGGAAAACCAGCGGGTCGCCGGTGTTGCCACGCCGACGGCAAATGGAGAGTTGCCGTCGGCGCCAAATATTTGCCTGCCGCGCTTGGCCGTGTGCCCGGTGCCACTCGAGGAATTTCTGAGTGGAGCTTTCAAAGCCTGTGAGGTGGGAAAGAGGCCAGCAGGCGGAGACACACACCGCCGGTGCAATGTGCGTAGCAGCCAGTGGGCTGCTCTGTCGGGAGTGCAACAGATGAGACGAGGTCGTGACTACAGTGCAGTACAATCCGCTGCGGTTTTATTTAATCTTTTCGATGAGAAAAGTATCGCAGAGGGGCGCAGCTGCAATCGTCCGCTGTGCGCCGCGCGCCGCGGTGAAGATAAGAGGGGGGGGGGTAAAGCGTGGGACAAGGAGTCTGTCGTCGTTTGCGTGGACACAATTCTTTGTCTGGCTCGTGAAGCCCCCTTCTCTCTCGTGTCTCGTGACCGTCCTGCTGTCCATGACCGCGAGCCGCTCCATGTGAACAGCGAGAGATGTGCGTCACCGCCCTTTCTGGGCGCTCGCTCCCATGTGTATTTCTTTGTCCTCGTTTTATTTCGGGTTGCATTTCTTTTTGGGGTAGCGGTTTCCTGCGTTAAATCTCGATTAAAAAAAACTATTTTCTTTAGAATCGCTTTTTTGTGTTTAGTTTGTTGTCTTTCCCAGCACCTCCCGATTAGCACAGTGGGCTACGTATGGTGTGAAAGAAGTTCAACATACAAACATACGTTTAAATCAAAGCACAGCAGGGACTGTTTGTACGGGCGGACCGAAGTTAACTGGTCCAGCGCCAAAGGGAGCTGGGAATGGCTCCTCCGAGTGCTCGTGAAATGAACGCGTCTGACACCCATCGGCGTAAACTTCCCATAATCTGGCAAACCCGCAGCTGTGAGAATGCAGAGATGACTCCGGCCGAACCAAACCCAAGGTCAGCAGGTTATCATGGCCATTACAGCTGATGCCACCACACTCACCATCACTTGCTTCCTTCACTCAATCCCGTAGTTGCTGCGAAGACCAGATCTGTCCTCCATGGGTCGCTCTTAACAGTATCCCACCATTCTCTTTGGTTCTTTCGGTAAAACCTCCATTGGCTGGAGGTTTTTCCCCTGGTCACCAGAACCCGGGTCCGATTCGGTCAGTGACGTGCCCCCTGCACGTTCGTCCCATCCGTCAAAACCTTTCTTCGGTGTCTTAATGTCCTTCCCTTACCGTTCTCTATTCCAAATGTCCCAAGTTTCCTACCACCCTATCCTTCCACGAAACCGAATGCTGCTCTTTGTTTCCTGAGGCTTGCGCTGCGCCGCCCGAATGCTCGTCGAGCCGTGTCTGTGTCGAGCGTGCTCGCGAGTCGAGGGGGGGAGGCCGGACTCGCGCGTTGCCCGACCTGTGCCGCTGTGGCCTTCGCAGGCGCGGGCTGCGTCGCGGCCGCAGAGGAGGAGTGCGAGGGCGCGCGCAGCGTCAGCGCGCAGGCCGTCCTGCTCTGCTGCTGGCGCAGCATGAAGGAGATCTCGCTGCTGCTCGGGCAGCTCTCCCAGCATGCCGCGCTGCAGCCCGCTCAGGTAACCAACTTCCTAAGCAGCGTGCCCCCCTCCCTCCCCGCCCTCCCCCCACACCGCACCACGCAATTCCACCGGCCGTGCGTGAGAGCCAGGCAGTAAGCAGGCAACAGATTCACCCACTCCATGCTTTGGAAAGTTTTTTGTGATTCGCAAGTTACTATTGGATTTATTTCGGGGGCGGGGTGGTGTTTCGTTGCCATTTCGGCGCATGCCGATTCTGTGTCGGTGCAAATGCATTGCCAGTCTACTGGTGGATGAGGACGTCGGCACATTCTGGGGGGCCGCGGGGGGTTGTTGGGCCACACTTGACGACGCTGGTCAGCGCGGCTTGATGAAGGCGGGCAAGTGGGAGCGTAGAAGCACAGCGCGTTTCAGGCCATTTGGTTACACTCACAAATAAAGAGGCGTAAATAATCGGCCCTCGCAGGAAGAATTCGCCGCGTGAGAATTTAACTCTCGGGTTCTATCCGACGAAGGCAGACGAGTCGCTAACGCGTCCGCGGGTCGCGCGATTAAATGTTTTGCCAGCGCTAAATCCGTTCTGGCTGCCGAGTTGCCCTCGATGCGATGCGCGTGCGTGTGTGTGTGCGTGTGTGTGTGTGTGCGCGCGTGTGTGCGCGTGTGTGCGTGTGTGTGTGCGTGTGTGTGTGTGCGTGTGTGTGTGCGTGTGTGTGTGCGTGTGTGTGTGCGTGTGTGTGTGTGTGTGCGTGTGCCCGCGGCCATGCAGATGGAAGCCGTGGGCCACTACTTCCGGCAGCAGCTGCTGGAGTCGAGGCACCGTGGGGCCTTCGAGTTGGCCTACGTGGGATTCGGAAAACTCGTGGACGCTCTCGCTCGGTAATGGGCTCGCCCCTCACCCCGCTTACTTACCCCCACCTCCCCCGCTCACGATCACCGCTCCCCACAATCCTGGCACAACCACATCTTGCCCCGAAGCAGAGCCTGCAGCTTCCCCGGAGAACATGTTTCTTCATGTTTTCCCGCTTGTCAAATTTTCCCAATTTAAAATGCAGACAAGTTAAACGCACTTCCCAAGACCTCTCCTTACTGTGTCAGTATTTAGTTGTGGTCAAATAGCTCTGAGACTTTCTTTCGCATTGTTTAAACCAAAATTGCAGTTGTTAATGCATCGTGTCTGTGCATTTCCGCAGAGCCCTGCCGAGACGATCGTTCTCTTAGCCACGTTTCCCCCCCCCCCCCTCCTCTTAAACATCCCATCGGCCTCTTGCCCTCCGCCCCGGTGACAAGGAGGCCTTTGTTTTTGTTTAGTTATTTATTTTGTGTCCGCATTTATGTAATCTCTCAGCAAGAGACACTCAAGGGATGACACGTCAACCCTTTATCAGTGATGGAGGAGAGGCCCTCGGAGGCACGAGGTCACAGGGCAGCGGCAGATAACGGATTATAAAAGGTGATCCGGAGTGCCGCTCGCTTTATTTCTGGCGGTCAGGAGCCCGTGGCGGGCCACTTTCATGGCGTTATCGGCCCGCGTGCCGCGAATTGGCACAAAGTTGAAGTGCTGATTCCAGTGACGCACGCGCACTCGGGAGCACACGCACGGCGGCTGTGGTGCTGCCGGCCTGATGCGCTGTCTCCAGGTTTGGCATGAAAACATGTGCTCCAAGTGATTTCATTTGTGTGCATTGTGTGCGTTGTGCGTGCAACCTCCCGTGGGGAACGGTGGCGTAGTGGTTAGAAGCGCTGCGGTACGAACCCGGCACCCCGAGTTGCGATTCCCGCTCACGGCCAACACCAGTGACAATTATTTGAACCGCTCCTGGGCCTCTCCTAGGTTGACTCAACCTCAATATCGCCACGAGGGAGACAAAGGCGGCCGGACATGGTGCTGGCCACCCACCCCCTCGTATGCCCTGCCGGCCTTCTTGGATGCTCGCGAACAGCAGTTGGTCCTCCAGTCTTTTAAGGGCTATACGGAGGAGGGGGGAGGGGGTTTCTGTCTTCGTACACCTTTGTTCACGTGTGTGGTCGTGTGTGTGGTCGTGCATCCGTGCCCTGTGTGTTTTGTCGACGTTTTGGGGTGGCCATCGCAGAAGTGAGGACCCGGCCTTGCAGACTCTGCCGCGGCAGTGGCTGGAGGCGGTGCTCGGCGAGGTGAAGGAAAGTGCCGCGGCTTCCAAGCTGTGCGCCACGCGGCGCAGCGCCGGAGTGCCCTTCTACATCCAGGTGTGCATCGCGCGGCGGTCTCACGCCGGCCAATGCGGCGAGGCCTCATCCGCGCCCGTCGGGCCATGCGCAGGGGTTCAAAAGCACTGCGCTGCCTCCCCAGTGACCTTGGTCCAGTTCTAAAGCAATGATTGATTGCGTCAGTGCCAAGTGGGGTCCCATAAGCCAACCTGGCCTTATATAAGTGTACTCGGTGTGGTGTGTGACCATGAGTAGCAGAGACACGTAAGCAGTCGGGTATGATAATAGCACTCGTCGTATTAGTTGGTGTGAGTTAACTGTCTTATTTTTTATACAATTTGATATGCACAATAAAAATATCTTTGCAAGGCTTTTGGTGAATGTGCAGAAATTCCGACCCACGATGCCACGGCTAATTTGTTGCTTATGCAATGGGTTTGGCAGATCGCTTGCTGTTTATCACATCGGTCTCAATTTCTGAGAAAAGCAGCGCCGCTTGGCTCTTCTAAAAACTGTGCTCCACGGGGAGCCAGCCCACGTCGCGGCCCCAGTCGTGAGAGAGCCAGAGCCACCAGACTGCCCTACTCCACTCAGCTCTTCCTCGGTGAACAGCCTGCCGAGTCTTTGATCGTCTGCGTGCGCACCGCGTGTGTCTTGCGTGCGCACGTCAGGCGCTGGTGTCCGCTGAGCACAAGCGCTCGGGACGCTCCCTGCTGTGCACCGCCATGAGCCAGCTCCTGCCTCTTGCGCTGCCGCAGGGAAAGGGTCCCGATGAACCCGGCGTCCACGCCCAGGTATGCGGAACCCCGGGGAGACCAACGGCAAAGGGAGATGGAAAAACAATCCCTTCGGCACAATAACCCCCAGGTGCCTTATAACTGTCCTACACGGCAAGCTGAAAGACAGCAATTCTGTTTCACTATTAACGGCCTAGAGTGCATAGCTCTTGTCGCAAATTAACCAGGTGGCTGATGTGGTCGGCAAACATGACTTGGTACAGTGGCAGAAACCTAATAACTTGACAGCGCAACACGAGTTGTTTGTCACATTCCCACGGCCACTAGCGATGTTAAAATAATAGATTCTTGAAATCATGACCCTGAATCCTGGACTATTGAATTTCAATAGAGTTAATGGAAGGCTAACCTTGAATGCAAGTGTCTATGCTGTCCGATTTGTGCTGAGCCACAGAGTGGTGACGTCTGTGCCCGCCCATTCGCCCTTTTTACTCGCGACCCAGGTGCACGCGCTCAATATCTTGCGGGCTCTGTTCCGCGATTCGCGGCTCGGCGATCACATGACCACGTACGTCCCCGACGCGCTGCGGGCTGCCATCCTGGGGTTCGCGTCGCCCTGTCTGGGCCGTGAGTACATTTACTTCGCCGCGTTCAGTTTACTTAACGCCGGTCAATTGTAACGATTCGGAGCAGTGGCGTCGCTCTCGATAGGTCCGCGGTCGCCATGTGTTTCCCAGTCTCGACCACGTTTCGCCGCTCTCCCACCCTCCCTCCAGGTGTGCAACTCCTGCACGCTGCTGTTCAGCACCCTCATCACGCGTGTGTTTGGAGCGAAGAGGTCACGCCGTGCGCCCGTTGGCAGCAACAGGTGGGCATGGCGGGGCCCAGAAACGCGGGCACACTCTTGAATGCACACAAACTTCGCACCACGCTACCAGGCCACGGCAATTTGGTGACGGTTGCCAATAACGTTTCGGCTGCTCATCGCGTGCCGCTCCATCCTCACCACGCCGGCTCGTTGGGCAGCATCGTGATGTTGAGAAGGTCGGTGTTCTATTATCACTTTCCAGCAGAGGTCCCCCAATAGCAAACACCTGGGCTGGCAGTGGACAAAAGTGGCATTGCCAAAAAGGCCCCTCCCTACACATCCACATGCCCCAAACACCCGCAAATCAATACCGTTGGTTTAAGAAGCCTTTTACGTCAGCAAAAATAAAAACACAATTTGCTCCAAGAAGTCTCAATAGCTGCATGGGATGGCATTCGCAATGTTTGGGGAGTACATTCCAAGGAGGGTGAGGCGGCTTTTAGGTGGGGATAGCCTAATGGTGGCGAGGCCAACAGGTGTGGTGGCCTCATCAAGTTCAAGTTCATTTATTAGGTATAGCCCTGTGAGCCATTCGGCTCTTGAATCAGGTGCAACCGCAACAAACAAAAAAACAAAAACATGATCAAAAAACATCTTAAAGTGACTATGTGACTGAGTGCAAACAGAAAATCCAAGAAAAGACAGCAAAATATTGCAAAAAAAGAAAACACCGTACTCCAACGCTGTATGATAGTGGTGTTCACGTGGGAATGGCCTTAAGGTGGAGTGGTTTCGGGTGGGATGGCTTTCAAGATGCCATCAATTCACTTGGACGGCTGGGGTCCCCTGCATCGATCCCCGATGACCTTTGCGCATCGCTTCGTCCAAAGTCTCACTGGCAGTAGAAGGTGCCGAGTGATTGACGATTCGAGGCATTCTTCAAAATGGGGTGGCCGCCACATCCCACATGTAACGTGAAGTCAGCCCCCATGTTGTACAGGGTCGGCTGTGCTCGCACGGGGCCAGGCCGGGCCTCGGCGTCGGTCTCACCACGCCACGTCCGCCGTCCGTGTTCCCGCAGAATGACCGGGCGGGAGTTTTTCTCCAGATACCCCTCGCTCCATCCGTTCCTCCTCGAGCAGCTGAGCCGTGCGGCCTCCACGTGCTCCCACAGGTACCGCAGCAGCGTTCAGCCGATGGCTTCTCATGCCTTCGCGCCATGTTTTTGGAACATTCATTTCTTTGTAAGTTAACTTTTCCCCAATCATACCAAATATGTGCAATTGGCAGTCCATTCTCAACTCTTGCAGAAAGCAGCGGAACGTCACTTTGTTTATAGAACAGACTCTGGAAGATGACGTTCTAGAACTACTGCTGAGATCAGTTTGATTGCCTCTCATCCACACTGGGTAGTGAATCTTATGCTACATGTTTAAGCGGCTACTTGTTTGTGCCACTTGGTCTAAAACGAGTTGCTACTTACAGAAAATCACCATCATGAAGATTTTTAACCATCCTTTATATTTAACATCAATGTTGAGCAGTATCACATTATACGTCTCAGAGTTAATGCCAAGGCTGATGGCACAGCTGCTGTCAGTAAACCTGGCGAGAAGTGCTGTGCAGTGATGTTGGCGTCGTTGTCTGTGTGTGTTCGTGCGTATGTACACGTGTGTGGGGAGAGGGAGTGCAGCAGCAGTTAGTGCACTGCACTACGAACTCGGCGACCCGAATTCGATCCCCGCTCTCGACCAACACCTGTGACGTTTATCTGAACCGGTCCTGGGCCTCTCCTAGGCGCCCGGTGCAGTGTGTAAAAACCACCACTCAGGAGATAGGGGTAGCTGGGCGTGGTGCTGGCCACCCAACCCCTCGTGTGCTGTGACGTTCTTCATAGGTGCTCACGAAGAGCACCGTCCCCAACAGTCTGCTAAGGCCATGCGGGGGGATGTCTTTGTTGTATGTGCGCGTGCGTGCCGTGCTCGCTAGCAGCGGTGGCGATGCGGTGGGTACGGCGAGCTTACAGCCGGCGCTCTTCCCACTGCTGCTGCTCCTGGCCAAGCTCTACCCGTCCCCCATGGACGGCACCTACACCGAGCTTAGCCTGGCGCCATTCCTGCCCCTGCTCGTCCGGTACCACCGCCACACCAAGGCCCAGCGTCCACCGCAACTCACCCCCCCCTCCCCTCACTTTGCCGAGCTGTATCCAGTCATCCGAGTACAGGAGCGAGATCGATTGTTGCATAGTAAGACTGTCACAGGTAGTGATGGCTTGGAGATGCTGATATAATGATGATGATCCAATCGTGATTACAGAGACAGGCACTGGAATGACACCCAGAGGTTGGTGACCAAGAGTAAGACTGAGCGATATTATTTCGAGTGGACCATGGCAATCTACGGGGCTTTAGCAGCAGACGCAACGGACAAGCGTGGTGACCTTGGCCGTGAAGAACTCTTCACCGTGACCTCGTGCGAGACGTGTCGCTCAACGCAGGACGCAAAGCTGCGTATGTTGCACGGTGAAAACCGTTTAGCGGAAGTATTGTTGCGGTCGCCTAGTGTATCTCAAAGGGTCTGCTCCCACACGCGGTGTTTCTGGGGTGGCTGGTTCAGCCACCGTTACATACAGGCGCGTATCTTGTCGCCTCCAACTACGTATTTGACCGGTGTGCCATCTAAACCGAAGCCAATGGGTGCCCAAACGGTCAGAGCGTTTCTTCTATCCGCTCTGTGCCAGCATCCACGTTCCGTCTTCTTTCATTCACCCAAGTTGACTTGCCTGGCACACGAGATGCGGGAAAAACAGAGAACAAAAATATCCACGACACAGCCGCCTCTCCCTCTCTCTCCGTGAGCACCCAGATCACAGCGGTGACGACATTGACTTGAAAAAGATACGCATCTTATACGTAGGAACGAATCTTGTGTCGGTGGCCGCTGTTGCTGGGGTGGACTCGGTTTTACGATGCGTGCGTGCGCGCGTCCGTGCGTGCGCGCGTGTGCGCGTGTCCTTGTAGCTAGGTGTGCGAGCGTGCATGTGTTTAAAGTTTGCCCGGCTTTCAGGAATGCTCTTCCATTATAAAGGTTCCCCCCCCCCCTGCCCCCACCCCCCATATGGAAAGGCTCGACCTCCAGGCCTGGCCTTCAAGGCCGGGGCAGCCTAAACGCAACGCAGATTACCGCAGCGCCAGCCCCACCGCGTGGGGGCCGCACTCCGCATTCCTCGCTCGGACCCCGCTCGCCGAGGAGGCCACGGAGACCCCCCCCCACCCCTCCAGCCCCGCGGGCAGACGAGGCAGAGAGTATAAAACTCGACTCCGGCGGAGAGGGAGGGAAGGGGTGCAGTAGTGAGGAGGAGGAGGGAAAACCTCAGACGCTCTTTCACGCGCAAATCACAAAAGCAGCGTTTCACAAATCAAGATTTTTGTTTTGTTTTTAGAAATCGGTCTACATTTTTTTCTTGAGGAATGGCAGGAGGGGGCGGGGGCGACATGGGCCCGGCGTGCGTGTGAAAGCGCACGAGTGTGCGTACGCAGAGGGAACAGCCATCACAGTTAATGAATCGCCCCTCGCTAAGTCAAACTTAGACACTAATTGCTACGGGGCTGGTTTTTAATCATCGCACTGTTTTCTTTACTGGGGGTAATAACTAATAGCTGCAATTTTTTTGCGTTTTAGTTGCATTTGCGCTGCTGGACTCGCCTGCGCATGTGGAAAGTATGCGTGCGTGTTGGTGTGTGTGTGTGCGTGTGCATGCGCTCGTGTGTGCGTGCACACGCACACACACGCGGTAGTGCAGTGGTGTGCAGTGGTTATTGCGCTGCGCTCCGAACCCGCCGACCCCGAGTTCGATTCCCGCTCACGGCCAACACCATCGACGATTATCTGAACCGGTCCCGATGCGGTGTGTAAACGTCGCCACCGGAGAGACAAAGCCTTCATAGGTGCTCGCTAACAGCACTTGACCCAACAGTCCGTTCAGGCTATATGGGGGATCTCTGTGCGCGCGCATGTGCACAAGGCATGTGCGCTTGCGTTTTTCCTTTTTTGTTAGTCAGCATGTGTTTGTGTTTATAACACGATCACTCGATGAGTCCAAACGTTTCGCATGCCCCTGATCGCGTCTTGCCAGCGCTGCAACCGCAGCCTATCGCTCGTGGCAAGCGAGCATCTTCGTGTTTATTTGTTTAATGAGTTCATTTCCTTCGTCCAGCCCCCCACCCCCTGTCCCCGCATCCCTCCCCCTGCTGCCCCTCCCCCGTCCGCACCATCCTCGTTGTAACTGTAACCACCGCCGCATGCTTTGCCTGTTAAAATTAAAATGCAATTTCATGCCGTTGCTGCCAGGCCCAGGGATAGATTTAGACCGAGCGTGGCAGACGCGGTCACGCAACGGCGGAGACATCTCCGGACCAAACTTTGCCCCTTTACGTTAACACGAAGCGAAGAGCGCGTCCAGGGGCCGGAGAGTGTAAGACCTCCTTCGAGTGAGCCACAAGTAATGCAACCTTGGGACTATTCTAAGAAGGTGGGGGGGGGAGTGAACAGATTTTAAATGTCAAGTTTCATCACGCTTGGCTTTGTGGCACCACCGCCGTTGTTACTTTTTTTTTTGTCTGCAAGCATCCAGCAAATAAGGAAAAGCATTGAAACACTCGACCAATTTTGGCTGTGCGTGTGAAGGCATGTTAAAGTGATCGCAGACCAGTTTAGCCCACACTCCAGTCTCTAGTTCCTGTTCTCCCTTGCCTAGCTCATTATTTCTCATCTATCCCACATTCACATCTGTGGTCCATGCTCGACGAAGTTCCTGACCGTGAAAATGCTGATGGCCATTACACAATGTTGGGCCTGTGAGTCACAGGTAGGACAATCCTATTTTGAGCTGTGGATCGGTGTCTGTGTGTGTGCGTGTGGGGAGCGGTAGTGTAGCGGTTAGCGCGCTGCGATATGAACCTGGCGACCCGGGTTCGATTCCCGCTCACGGCCAACACCAGTGACGATTATCTGAACCGGTCATGGGCCTCCCCTAGGTCGACTCAGCCTAATATGAATACCTGGTGTGGTGTGTAAACATCGCCACTGGAAAGACAAAGGCGGCCGGGCGTGGTGCTGGCCACCCAACCCCCTCGTGTACTGTTCCGGCCTTCATAGGTGCTCGCTAACAGCACTTGCCCCTACAGTCTGTTAAGGCTATACGGGGGATCTTTGTCTTTGCCGTGTGTGCTTGTGAATGTGCGTGAGGAAGTGGTGTAGTCGATTACGCACTTCGCTATAACCCTGGTCACACCTGGGTTCAACGTAAGTGCCAATTAGTATTTGAACTAGTACCAGACCTCCTTCAGGTCAACAATCTTAAATGATGTACCTGGTGTAAACATCTGCACTGGGAAAGACAAAGACGGTCGGGCATGGCTCTGGCCTCGTTTTGCCTCGTCAATCGTCCTAGCTGCTTGCTACCATCCCTTGCCCCGACATTACGGTATGTAAGGCTAAATGGGGGATGTGTTGTTTGTGCTTGTGTGCATGAGTTCTGGAATGGCTGTTAGCCCACTGCGCAAAGAACCCAGCTGCCTGGGTTCCATTGCCAACCATGGCCAACATCAGCGACAAGTAATATCCGAAACAGTCCTGTGCCTCCTCTGTGTCCACTCAGTCTTAAATAATTACTTAGTGCGGTGTGTAAACAACGGCACCGGAGAGACAAAGGTGGCCAGAAGTGGCGCTGGCCACGCCGCTCCCCCTGGTGTGCCGTGCCGGGACTTAATAGGCGCTCGCTAATGGCACCATCCACGTCGGCTCCACGAAATGTTTTCTCCGCCGCTGTCTTCTGTGCGCGCGGACGCTTCCAGGTGCGGGGGGTCGCCCGTGTGGCGCGCCCGCGTCATGGCCGCCCACGCGCTGGTCGCCTTCATCCCGGCGGCGGCGGCGACGCGAGTTCTGTGCGAGCTGCTGGACTCGCTGCCCCGGGGCCTGCGGCAGGCAGACGGCGCGAGCAACCGCACGCACGGCACCCTGCTGCAGGTTTGTGCAGCAGGGCGATGAAAGGGATGGATGAGGTTCGCGGCCCCGACCAGAATTTGAACTCCCCAACCTTGAAGTTGTGATCTATGCCCTATTAAGTCCCGGGCACGGCCGTGCTGCTCAGCAGGATTATAATATATCAGCTCTGGAAGAGGAAAGGGCAGCCAATTTCCAGACAACCCCACAATAAGTATCTTCCTACCGTCGGCGCACATCGCGCGTGACGTCGAACGGCAGATCCGCGCGTAGCCAGGCAACGGCAGCCCCTGTCCCTTCCCACCCGGCGGCAGTAAACACCGCCGCCGCCGCCGCTGGTCACGGTGTCACCAGCGGGGGCTGCAGGCGCTTGCCGGGGATGGAAGGAGGAGGGGGGAGGCGGACGTCGCACATCTGTTTGGGGGTCGTGTCGCAGGGAGGATGGTTCGTCCCCTCCCCTTGCCCTTGCAGTGGTGCCATGCCCCACCGCCTGTGCCCAGCTCCACTGCTGTGTTTGGCTGGGGTGGGCACTGTTTGTGTAGCGGGCACGAGTGCCAGCTCCACTTTAGCCGAAGGCAGCGCTCGTAATGGCTCGACGGCCGAGTGTTGAGTAAACAGCAGCAGTCGCCGTCGACGGCGCTGTTACGCGGTTAGACCAACACCAGGGTAATGTCGTGTCAACACCCGGCACTGAAGCCCATCTACAACGTATACATCATCACCGCCGTCGTCATCACCACCACCACCGTCATCATCATCGACGGTGTTCTCTGTGCGCCAAGTATCTGCGATGGTTGCCTTTGGCATTCCTGGCCCGTGGATGCCAATCAAGAGTGCAACAGAGAGTGGCTTAGCCGAGCAAAAATTACGCACGGCATAAATCCCCCATTAAGCCGAGTGTAACCTCTATAATGATCAACAGCCTTTTGTCTCTCGCACGACTTTCTGTCAAGAGGCAGTTCCGCAGCAAACGGGAGTAAATTATAATGAGCAGGTGCAGCAAAGTGGCAACACAGCTGTGACAGGGCTGGGCGCTAGAGAGGGAGCGAGGGGGGGGGGGATTAAAAAGGGGAACAAGACTGGGGGGGGGGGGACCAAAGGGGGGTCTCTGGAGGGGTCATGTGCGTCTGCAAAGCCAGCTTCTATAAGGCAGTGACGTGGGCTAATTAGAAAATAAAAGAAGCTATGATTCTGGGATGAGCCCCCCCCGGCGTGCTGCTCTGGGTGACCACGTGTGAGTGGTGACGGAGCGTGCCGCGAGTTTTCTATTTTCTGAGACATGAGCAAAACGTTTTTTCTACAGTTTTAAGAGGCCATATGGTGGCATTGTTAAAGAGGCTCCCAGACCGCAAGAGGCCATTTCACGTTTTATCCTCTGCGCGAAAGGTTTTATTCCATTCTGTGAAAGCAGAAAATAGATGCATTACACCGAACTGTATTAATAAAGTACCCTAGCGACTGGTGGCATGCGGCCATGCTGTGGGGACTGGCGGCTGAAGAGTGAGTGCTGCTCACTGCTCGGCCCTGGCCTCTCCCTGACCTGCACCGGGGGCTGTTTCTCAACATCGCTGTTATTTACAGGCCAATCTTTTTTTGTTTTAATGTGTACACTCAACATATGAGTCACTTATTTTTCTACTTGCCTTATCGCTATATTTTTCAATCGTGTGTTTGTATTTTACTGTACATATATGAAACGTACAAAGTTCAAAGGGACATTTTGGTTTTACTGACGCTCAACTGCAGCCATCGGCCAACTGAGCTTACGAAAGGCAGTCCCATGATTCGTCACCTCTCGGGCTCATCAGCAAGCCACGGTGCCCCTGCCCATAATCACACTGGGCATGGCATGGCTGGCCACATTTCGCCAATGAACCCCCTCTGAGAGTGCAACATGTTCGTGCTTGCTATACTGTCGGCTAAAGCTGCTCACTCAGAGGAGTTGGAGGTCCTGCTGCTGAACCTGGAGCGTCCCACTAAGAGAGGTGGGGCCTTACTATCAGCTCCTCCAAAACTAAGCACCTGCCTGGGTATTTTGTATCATCAAACACTCCACCCCTCAACTCCCTATTGGTGATGGAGATGTGGAGAGAGTTGAGAGTTTGCCATACCTGGGCAGTATGCGTACGCTTAGTCTGCTTGACAGCAGAGTTCTTACTCTGAATCAGTCGGGTGGCATATTTTCAATGGCTGCGTTAATAACGCTGTGTAGAAGCTCCCTGGTCTGTCGCTCCACACAAAGCTTCAGGCCTTCAGGGTCAGTCATGCCCTCCCTTCTCTCTGCTTTGGAAATGTGGAACATCTGTGTTGGTTAGAAACATTCAGGCTCGCCTGCCTGTGATTCATCCTGGGCTTAATCAGGCTGGATTGTGTGAGCTCACAAATCCTTTAAAGATATGAACACATTCCCATTAGTGAGCTCTTCCAGCAGGTAAGGCTGCGTTGGCTGGGTCATGTTGCCCGCATGCCCAGGCATTGCATGCCCAAGCAGCTTCTGTTTGGCCGGATAGAGGAGGCTAAACGGGCGCTATATGGGCTGGAAAAGAGATGGCGTGATGCTGTTCAGGAGGATGTGGAGCCGTGTGAACTTGCCGAAGACTGGTACCAGCGGCGTCAATATCGGCCTCTATGGAAAAGGCTCGTGAAGGATGCTCTGGGGCAGTTGGAGGCAGTCGCCCTCCAACAACGGAGGCCAGAGGAGTGACGCTCACAACGAGTGGGGCGCCAGGCGGCTAAAATACAGAAAGTTGGCACAGTAGGGGGCAAAGCTGTCTCGTGTCCTCATATCAGCAGCGAGCCTTCGACACTTCACGTGGCCTCAGTGTACGTGGCCTGGCACAAGCGCCGTGGCGATGTCACCACCACGCTGTGGAGAATGGCGGCCGTTGTTGTGGGCTACGGACGGATGCAATTGTTCAAGGCTTCCACCATTGGAACCTCATTTGCCAGTAAAAAATATAATTGTTTTTTACCCTTTTATCTGGCAACAAAACTGACACCTTTTTTACAAGGAGTCATGTTTGCATAGACCACAATACCTGCAGTCATAATGCAAACAAAAAACATAACTCTGATAATGTATGCACTGTCCTTGAAGTTGATTTGTCCACACCTGAGACAGCTTTCCTTAGAGCCTAGTCTCACATGGTGTTGGACCAGATGAGGCCAAAAGGCGCACCAATACTCTGATGGTGTATTGTCTTTGAGTTGTGAGTGCGCCTTTTGGCGTCATCTGGTCCAACACCATGTGAGACTAGGCTCTAAGGAAAGCTGTCTGGGGTGTGGACCAATCAACTTCAAGGACAGTGCATACATTATCAGAGTTATGTTTTTTTTTGCATTATGACTCCAGGTATTGTGGTCTATGCAAATATGACTCCTTGTAAAAAAAGATGTCAGTTTTGTTGCCAGATAAAAGGGTAAAAAACCAATGTTCAAGGCTTGCCAACAGAAATTAAGTGATCGTCACGTAAAAAATCATGGTTGTAAACATTATGGGTGGTTTCTATTTAAAAATCTCGAATCGGCAGCATGGGCGCACTGGACCGTGGCTGGACATGTGCAAGGGTTGGTCAGAAAGTTTGAGGACATGACGTTAACAGTAATACACTCGGGGCTTTATTATTTTTTAAGTCACTTGCACCATCTGTGCACTTATTCTATTACGGTAAACGATGAAGGTATAAAGATGTCACTTGAAAAGAGGGCCTCGTGCAAATCTGGGCTCACTTTTTAGTTGTTGTTGCCTCATTAAAAAAGAAAACCGATTGGCCACTCTCGTACACGCATATGATATCTACGCTAATGTCCCACGCGTAAATGGTATTGACGTTTGTTAGCGTGTACGCTTTCGGAATAGTATTCAGTTCTCCGTCAATAACGTTGTAGTGTTTTCGCTAGGCCTTCACTTTCTTTGTAAATCCGCTGCTCGTGCCGATGTCTCCTTGGCTGTTTCCGAGGCTACGTTTCCTTCATTAGAAGAACAAAAAACCACATCTTTCGTTTTTAACGTTTTCGTTTTTTCTGGGACGTCCCCAAATAACCTGACAGAAGAGCGAGTTAACGTCCAATTTCAACCCCCCCCCCACATCACCACCATCTCCTTCAGCGTCCCCACCACCTCCCCCCACCATTACCCCACCACCACCTCCCCACCACCTCCCCTCACCAACTCCCCCCACCAACTCCCCCCATCACCACCACCCCCCACCAACTCCCCCCATCACCACCACCCCCCACCAACTCCCCCCACCACCACCACTCCCCGCACCTCCCACCACCACCCCCTACCACCCCCACACTCCACCCACCACCACCCCCCACCACCACCCCGCACCACTTCCCCCCACCTCCCCCCACCACCACCACCTCCCACCACCACCGTCTCCATTCCCTGCCAAGCCCCAAGCCAGGGAAGTTACAAATATTTTCCGTGATGTCACGGGCGCCCGAGCGAGCCAAAATAAATTCACTTAAAAAGCCTCCAGGGGCGCATCTGGCAGAGGCAAGCCTGCGCCTTGCAGGACATGGGTGCACGATCACTGTACTCGCACTGTACTGTGAGTGGCCTTCGCCTTCAATAAACTCTTTTGTATTTTATGCTGCGGCCGTAACGAAATGTCTCAAGAGTGCGGGGGCTTTTAACCGCTCGCTCGACGCACGGCCCTTGCCCACCGCGTGCACGATTTCATTTTGTGACTTGACCTGGCCACACACTGCAACCCATCGCTCGACTTCTTCAAACTCGTGGGCACGCTGGCACCAAAGCTCGATCAACGCTTCCCCACCCACCCACCCCACGATCTCACTCAGTCTCGCTCGTTCGTTCGCTCCATTCGCATTGCGTTTGCGTGCTCGCTGGCTGGCTGGCTCACGCTCTGCACAGAGCCTGTGACAAAAGCCTCCTCGTGACCCCACCGCGCTCCGTCGACTCTCCGCGTTTACCAATTGACTCCCCCCTCCACCAATTGACTTCCCCCTCCAAATGCGAATTGACTCCATCCACCCTGCACGCGCCTGATGATTGTCAAAACGTGTCCCACGCGCACGGCGATGAACGCGCACGTGTCCATACGCACACACGCCGAGTTCTCAACTCACATCGGCTCTGTTAACGCAGACTGCGTTCATTACTTAGCGCCTCACGTGGGACGTCTAACAATCATCGGGCCCGTGCGGCGTGGAAAGAGTTAATTGGTGAACGGGGTGCGGTGGTGGTGGGGTGGGGTGGTGGTGGTGGGTTTGTGAATTGGTGAACGGGGTGTGGTGGTGGGTTTGTGAATTGGTGAACGGGGTGTGGTGGTGGTGGGGTGGGGTGGTGGTGGAGTGGGGTGGTGGTGGTGGTGGGTTAGTGAATTGGTGAACGGGGTGTGGTGGTGGTGGGTTAGTAAATTGGTGAACGGGGAAAGACGTGGCGTGGGTGGGTCGCGAGGACTGGAGTTGGGCAACGTACGGCCACGAAGCTTGCGTGCAAGCGATCTGGCCCGCACAGGCGAGCGGCAGGGATGAGTGCGCGTCTGTGGACACCTCCTCCGAGCCGCTGACAAATGTTGTCAGCACCGCAGCCCCAAGTCTCCCCACACACCCCACCAACTCACCCCCCGCCCGCCCGCCACCCTGCAACCCCCGAGATTACGGAGGTGCTCGCTGACCCTTCACAGGGCTACCTGACAGTTCCTCATCTTGCAAAAGTACACCTTGAGTGCACCTAAAAATTCGCGCACAAAAAAGTCGTGGAAAAGTTCTGGGCACAGCGGCGGCGGCGGTTGTGGGAGCGTGGAGCCTCGGCCCGTGGTGGTGAGCAGTCTCACCGCTCATTCCGGCAGTCGCAATTTTCCGTGCTGATGTGGCCCCGCTCGTGGTGACAGTCGCCCCTCACCATCTACAACCGCAGCGCTAGATACAGCCCCCCCCCCCCTCACTACAGACCCCCGCCTCCTCCCCCCCCGTGCCCTATTAAATAGTGGCACGCAAGCCATACGCTTTTCATCATCAGTCCATTTTTTTAAATAAAAAGTCACCGCTTGTTTTTCCTTTATTTAAAAATGTATGCAACGGGGGCTAAATCAGCCCACAGGCCCCTGCAAAGTTGCAAAATGGAACACGGTCTGAAATGTGGATTTGTGCTTTGCCTTCCACGGGCACGCAAAGGGGTTTATTTTTTTGTAATGAAGATAAAACGTATCCAGATGGTTTGTGACAGCGCGGGTTGGCTGCGCTCGATGACAGTTCGGTTGACCGTTTGTGGAATGTGGACGCGGCGATCGGGGGGGGGGGGGCACGGAACCGTGAGATGTGTTTTGATGCGACGTCGCTCTCTGACAAGACACCTAACCCTCCCCCCCCGCCCCCTTTAACTCCCCTCCCCCCCCCAACAGGTGCAGCACCTGGTGCATGCGCAGGGCGAGAGTTGGGGGAGCAGCCCCGACTTTGTCCCTCCGAGCGGATCCCCCGGCGAGCGGGTCTACGAACGGCTCCTCGACTGCGTGTGGCTCGCCACTCGGTAACAACCGACACTTTGCGCGCTGCCACACCCAAGGCCGGGCGGCCTAAGGGATCTTTAGACATTTTTTGTTACTTTTCAAAAGCTTTCACACGGCGTACGCTTCCCGGAAGATCACCCCACCAAAAGCAGAAAGAGTTCGTTGAACTTTTTATCCACGTAAAAAAAACTGCTTTTATCAAGCAGCATGCATGGTGGTTCAATGCTCTCCGCAAGTGTTCAGTTTGTACGGTCGTGGCGAATGTTTACGATTTACAATCCCAAACAGACCCATAAAGAACGTGGCCCTAAACAATGCCACCGCCGCTTACAAACGCTTGCCCACTCCCCTCCACTCGTCCCACCCACACGGAAGCCGGAGGAGGTAGCAACATTTGACTGCCTTCTGGAATCACTGCCGAGGCTTGCCCTCGTGGTCCACGCCACGGCGGTTTCACCGCAGCTCGAGTCGTCTCTGTGATGGAGGGGCTGGAGGATGCGGAGGAATGCAGCTCTCCCAGCCGCCAAAATCTCCAGCCGCAGCCCTGGGTAGGATAACCAGCGGCAGCTGCGCTTGGGGACACCGGTGGGAGCCTTCCACGCCAAATTTTTTGACCGCGCGGGCGGCGGTGACCGCTTGGGCTGCGCATCGATGTGTGCCTCGCGCCCGCGTCGACTGCGGAGCGAAAACAGCTGCCGGCTCTGTGTCACCCAGAGCTGCTGCTGCTGCTCTCGCAGTCGTCCTGTTTTGACGATGGCTTTGGGTGGGCCCCCATTCCCCTGCCCATGCCCCACACCAATTCCCACCCCCCCCCCACCACCACCAGTCCAACACCCTGACACTCACCCCTCACGCTCCAGATGTCACCAGCAGTGATTCGCCGCCACTTTAGATTTAAGCTGCTGAAAGCGAGCACATGAACAATGCTATTTTCCCAGAAGTTGCTGCAGGGGAACGCCCAAACAAGTCCACGCTGGCAGCGCCTTGTGAGCACACACGCGGTGCACGCAAGAGAGGGGAGGCCTCAGGGGATAGGAGTTAATGGCTGCGGCACGCTGCTAATTAGTCGGCCTATTCACTTAAACATAATTCTTTTATACCTCGTGATAGAATAATAATAATACAATAAAATAGTGTAATAAATGCCACACCTCGTTAAATAGACCTGATGGAACGCAGGCGATTTTGAAAAGATGGTAGTTGAGGGGGGGGGGGTTGGCATACGTGGGGGAACATACGTAGGGGGGGTGGGGGGCATACGTTGGAGGGGGGGGGGCACAGGGAGGAGCCCCAGGTTCCCTCCCAGGAACCAGAGCTCTGAGGTCATTGGGCAGCAAGCGCTTCGCTTGCACCAGCACCTGGCCAAACACGCGGCCTCACGGCGGCCTCGCTGGTGCTGTGCGCGGCGCGCATTGCCGGCAATTTTGTAACACCTGTAACAACGATTTCTGTTGTTTTTCACGGTGTACAGTGCGCCCCGTGTGTGTTTGCCCAGAATTATTTTGGGAAATCGACCGCCGTTTCTGAGCGCCGGTTGCGCCTCGGTGGTGGGAGAGGGAGGGAAATGGCTTGGAATTATTGACGACTGTTATACCCAGGCAACAACCACATACTCGTATTTCACAATTTGAGTTCTTGTATATATTTTTTGCAGCTATTCATTCTCTCATTGAATTTCAATACTCCCTTCCCGTCTGTCTCACCCTGAACTCGTTCCCCCCCCCCCCATTTCCTTATCCCCCCCCCCACCACCTCCTGTCCCTTTCAGGATGAACCCCTGCGCCGTCACCCGTGCCGCTTACCTAGACGTGCTGTCCCTCACCATCACCCACGGGGAGAGGAGCGGTCGCAAGGGTGGGTACGCACCGCCCACCACGGCGAGATCTGGAAGGATTTGCGTGATGGACAGGAGTGGCCGGGGCCACGGTGTCGGCTTTACATTGTCCAAACACGCACCGGCATGCACCGTGCGTGCGCAGCGCTCTGACGGCGCGATAACCGTAAAGGCGGTGCTCCTCTCTCACCGCGCAATAACTGCACGCTCTGCCGCACCATCAGATGCAGGGTCGGCAACAAAGGGAGGTCACACCTGGAAGATGGGTGCTGTGAGTACCTGTGCAGCTGATGAATTCAGCGCCCCTAGGGACAACAGCAGGGAGCCACTGATGGCCCAAATCGACCCTTAAACCTTCCGCTCCCCACGACACGGTCAGGGGCGGGGGGGGGGTTGGGGGGCTGGGTGTGTGGAATTTGACAGGGTGACCCCACGCATGAAAAAAAATCACCCACGCTGAATTGCAGCCGGGGCCGTTTCTCACAAACCTCCCCTTATTCTCATCTTAATTCAATTGCCGCTTTTTCATTCCGTATTTTTTTTTCTTTCTACCCGAAGCATTCCTTTGCGGCGCACAGGCATGGTGTCACTTAGTAAATCTGTAGTGGTCTTGATTATTTTGAAAGCACGTGGACCGAAGAGTCAAGTGATTGTGTATTATTGTTTCACGATCGGCTGATGTGTTCCTTATTGCTCACCTGACAAGTGTGGCCGGGATCGGAATGTGCCTGGCTTGCATCTCTGTGACGACTTCCCGGGTGCCCGCTCGCACACAAGCGCCCACTCTTCCCAACTCCCCCGGCTCCCACGGCCAAGTGTCCGCTGTGCACGGCCACTTAAAACGTTACACATCGCAGTTCTGTGAGAAGGGTGACTCACAAGGAAGGTGACATGAGCGATGGGTCACGGACGGATCTGGGTGCAGGGAGACGGCACGGACATCATGTGCCTCTGACCCCGGGGACTGAACGTGCGATCCCCATTCGCGGGGTAGACAACAGATTAAGCGCTTGGGATGGGAAATGGGGCATGTGTCCCAGGCAGGGGATTTATATGTCGTATTGCTGAACAAAGTCCCCAGTGATACCATTCGACATCAGGTCTATGGAGCAATTGGATACGATGTCATCCAGCCCATCGGTGTGATGTTTGTAATAATGTATTCGGTGTAGTTGTTTGACATACTGCTTGCAAAAACGTGTACAGTTTTAATTACACCTGTTTTATATTTACACTAGCATGTGAATAAATTGTTTGGGCACGTTTATATAATCGCATAACTGGTTGTCCTTTGAGAAGGGTAATACCAATCGTATATCCTAATGAGCTCCTTGGCCTGTTGATAAGCAGTCATTATACTGCATGTGATCCGATTAAAAATAATATATTTCATGATCCTGTTGTGGCAGTAGTGCACTCGCATAAACAACAAAATTCGTCACATTCATCAATAACGCTGCCGTAAGAGGAGAAGTATACATTCGGTGACAGCACGTCACTAGAGAGGCCACGGAGATAAGAGCGGACTTATCCAATTTTCAGATTTCCACTGCCGCCTTAATTCTAAATACCGCCACTAGACTTCGCACCCAAACGCCTGAGGGTCCACATCATCCCAATAATCCATCAAAACCGGCTGCCAATCCAATTTTGGATCGGTCTCAGAATTACCCTTACCATCTCCAACATCTACAAAATAGCTATGCCCACTGCTTTTGTAAACCGACTCAAGGTGCGGTCGCATTTAAGTGCCATAATGTACTCCGTTGTTCTCCCGCAGGCGCGGTCTACGCTGCGCTCGTGCTCCGCACGCACGCATTGGTCTCGGCGTGGCTACAGGCGCCTCCCGATGGGCAGGTGCTCGAGCCGGGCCACGCGCTGTGGGAGGCCAGCTCCGCTCACCTGGCCCTCGCGATGCTCCATGCGCGGCCGCGCTACCAGCGGCAAGGTGCGAGCGCCACGGACAGTCCGGCCGTGGACGACGCTGCTGGGGATGAGCGGGGGCTGCTGCGCCGTTTGCTGTCGTCCCCGGCGTGCGAGGTCCACTCGGCGGCCTTGCGCTGGCTCGTGTCCGCCCGTGCCAGCGAGCACCGCCCAGGTCAAACGCAAGGCGGCACCCAGCCGAGCGGCACGGAGGTCGTGGAGGCCGTGCGGGGTTTGGCCGTCCAGGAGATGCACCCGCAGTGCCGCACCGAGGTCAGGGTCCTGCTAGCATTGGCTTCTTCCGTTTAAAAGTTTCCGGTGCAGCTTCACATACAGTCGTGTGCCGTACCTCGCCTCACATTTGCGAGCGCTTGGGTTGAAGCCAGACGCGAGTCACTCAGGAATCGATATATGCTGCCCGTTTGAAAATCGTGTTTCATTCAAAGAAGATTCTGCGAGACAAACATTCCTTTTATACGCGGTGCCGGTGGGAACGTGTTGCCCTCTCCTGTGTAGATCAGAGGTCACTTGAAGGGACCTCGGAGGCAGCTCTGTGGTGTCCACTTCAGTGGGCCGAATGGATGCTTTGTCTCATGACATGACACTCATAGGTTATGCAACTCAAAGAATGCAAGACTCATATCTTGTCGTTTCACACCTAAACTGTGGCCCAGGATGACTGACATGAATGAGAAACTTCGTTAAAAAGTAACAAACACAAACTTGCAGGTGTGCCACTGTAGAGTGATCAAGTGATGGCACCGCATTGATGTCGTGTTACAATGTACACGAGTGACAATGCATCCAAGTCACTGGATCACGGCAGCATGCCTGGAGATTAAAGTCTTTCTTTCTCTCTCTCAAGGCTTCAGAATCGTGTCAGAAAACATCTTACTCATGCAGCTATTTCCTCCAATTCACTGCGCACTTGCTATGGCAGGCATTCAGGGCACTCTGTCGCTGGCCGGTGGAGAATTTGGTGCCATGGCCCCAAGGGGTCGGGTGCCTGGCTGCCGACGGACTCCTCGACTGGATCGTCGCCCTGATCGAGGCCAACCTGCACAAGTGAGACGGCGCAGAGCGTCGCTGGCGTTGCGCGAGCACGACAGTCGCGCTTGCGCCAACGCACCACCGTGCGGGGGAGCGATCATCCGACGGGTAAACGTTTGACCCCTTGTCGTTCACCGCAGCGTCGACCTCCGATGTGCCGGCTTGGAATTCGGTGCCCGCGTGGTCCGGCACTTGCTGAATCGCAGCCCGATGCAGGTACGTTGATCTTGCCCTTCCTCGTTTGTGTTGAAGAGACATTCAATTTTACGTAATTATTAAGTCGATGTGCTGCCTATGCTTGCTCACGTAGCCCACGGCGAGATAATCCGCCACAGCATTGCCTAACATTCCAACGGAAGTCGTCGCACCCATACAAGCAGCTCTTGTGAACTCGGCTCAAGAGGACAGCAGTTCCCTATTTGGTTGCCGCTTCGTCGCCCATCGCATGTGGGCATGAGCACAACAGGGATCGTTCACAACAACACCCCCCCCACCCTCCTTGCTCGCTGCCTCCTTCCGCGCTGTGACATTTTGCCGAGACAATGTGCCCTCGTCCCCTTTCTCCGCTGCCTGACTTCTTCCGCCCAGCAAGTGCCGCCGGCTTGGGCCTGCTGCGTGGAGCGGTGGATCCGATTGGTTGTCGCGGGTGGCAACGCTGACACCTGGTCGGAGGTCAGGGTCGTGAGCGCGGAGGTCATTGGCGAGGTCGCCGCTTCGCTCCTGACCAATGACCGACTTCCCGTGGGTAAAAAGTGCAGTGCGTGCGAGCCGGACTCGCCGCACACACCTGTGAGCCAGAAGCACCGCAGGGTGCTGGGTGGACCCCAGCCTGGTGCGCTGTACCACAACACGTGCACAAGGAACGTTTCCTTCACATGCGCAAATCTGCCATAGTATTGTTGGTTTTATGGAATTCCGGAAAAAAAAATCTGTTTTGTTTGCACCGAGGTGGCACCGAAGTGAAAAGGCACTTACTCATAAACATGACTGAGTGTGAGCTTCTATTATTTCTCCAACAAATGGCTTTTGCAATTGTTCATGTGCCTTGGTGCCGAAACATTTCTCGCGATTCGTGCTAGCTTTGGAATGTGGTTTATTATTTATTTACTTGAGTGGTTTTTGTAACATCTGCTTTAAAAAAATATATATATATAATTTGCAACACCCCACACGCACACCCTTGCTGTGGGCTTGGCGGGGAGGGATCGCAGTACCAGGCGGAGGGTCGCCCCACGCCGGCACAAGCCCTGATCCTTCCTCCCCTCGCCCGCTCAGCCGGCTCCATTTATTAATTTATTTACGCGCACACGGATCGCGATGCTTAACAAGCAGCCCATTATCGCGCCGTTGTTCATTTACTCGGGTGGTGCTGGTGGTGGTGGGGGGGGGGACAGCGAGGACTTGTCTTGTCCCCCATCACTCGGTGTACCACGGCGCACATGGACGCACAACTATGGGGAGCTGCTTGTGCTTGACGATTGTGGGGGTCGGCCGGGCTGCGTCCCCCCCCCCCCCCTTCTCTGTTCGTACAAATGCCCCCATTTTATTCATTCTCGCCAACACCACCCATTGTCTGCCTCCCCACAGACGGCGATGACCCCACGTGGAACTTGGCAGCAGTAGCTGGCTGCTTGTCCTGTGTCCCGGTCATTGGCCATGTTTGTACAAATTTAGTTTTCTTTTCCCCGTGCGGTTTCCAAATTGCCCACCGTGGGGGTAGAGCTGGACCCACTTGTAAACAAGCAGCTGAGTGCAACAGCTGCACATAAACATATTTAATAATAAACAAATGTGTAAACATCAATGGTAAACTGAGCAGTCAGAGCTTGCGCAGCAAAGGAGAGAATTCTGGGAATGAGGGGGGGCAGGAGTGTAAATTTGGATGTGACTACTTGTTGTTTGGCAACTGCTGTACTTTTTCTTCACTCGTATGGAAATAGCAACATTTACAAGGGGAGATCGAGTTGAGAAATCCAGTCGAGAATATCATCGAATGCGGAATTAACTATTGTCATCCCACCAGGAAGTGAATATAAAGGGAAACTGTTCACAATGTGTTCCATGAAGTTCGCTGCAGCTGCAGTGGGGATTGTCATTGAACCATCGCCACTTGTGCATCAGATATCAACATCTCCCATGGCAAACCCTGATGATCACCCACTGCCATACACCGTGTTACCAGGGCAGGAATGAGTTGTGCTAGATGACTATGCCAGACTCGGCCAGTAATTCCTAAACAATGTCTCATCTCTTATTTTGGATAGTTGCACGCGTGAACTTGTGTGGAGATCATTGATGCTACATTTCTCTCTTCCCGCATCGCCCCCCTGTATCGTCCACTCGTCTAAACCATTTCTTGTTGTTTTTCTCCACCCCACACACATGGCGTCACATGCCGTGCCACTCCAGGCCTGGGGGGCTGTCTGAATCTGTGGGGGGCCCTCCTGGGACTGCTGCAGGACGACGATGTGGGGGTGCGGGCACGGGCCACGACTGCGCTGGGCGGCCTCGCGCCCCGGAGCCCCACATGGGACGGTGAGGGGAACCAGCGGGTGGTGGTGGTGGCGGGGGGGGGGGGGGGGCGTGGGGCGTGCGGGCCAGCGGTCGGACCATGTCCGGCGACCCGCACCGGCAAGCCGGGGCCTGGCTGTGCTTGCCCGCCGACTTAAATTACACGCAATTAGTCTCAGCCGTTTCCTTATTACCGCAACGAAGGCCTCGTGTGGCACCATGCGCTCACCGCTGTCGCTGCGGATTACTTCGCGGCCGGCGGAGGCTTAATGAGAGAAACTACGTAAAGGGATGAAATTAAAGTTTACCAGCGAAGCCGGCATTCGGGACAAAAGGCGCTGTGGGAGTGCAGGGCCTTAAAGGGAGCAACTCAAGCGAGAGCAGCGAGTGCACGGAACTCGGTCGCTCGCTCGCTCATTCCATCTGACCGCCCCGCATAACGATAACGGGAGTGAGGAAGGAGTGAGAGACGCGGATGAGGGTGAAGTCATGACTTGCACGTCAGCGAGAACATTTTTCACTGCGTTTTAACAAAAACACTTTCCTGGGCATGGGTGTCACAGTAGGTCAAAGTCGATGTTATCTTTGCCAGGGATTGGTGAATTATTTCACCCTGGTTCCAAAGAAAAAAAAAAGAGCGTTTAAATCGGTGTTAGCAGTTATTGCCGATGAATTAAACGTGACGTAGGTACACTTAGTGATAACTGGACTGTGGAGGTGAGTGTGACGTGATTTCTGCGAAGCCTTCTGTGGGCAATGGTGACCACAAGCATGGGAGGATTCGGTCAACATTCTTCTCCATTTTACAGGAAGTTAACGAAACAACGTAGAGATGATTACAGTTTTTAGAGACACAAGTAATGCGACTGTAGTGTGTAATCGATTGTACATAGCACGAATACTTTTCTTAACTCTTGGGATATATGCACAACGTGCAGCAAACACGCAGCCTAGGGGGGGGGGGGAGGCATGGCAAAATGAGCTCTATAAACACGCCTCAACAAACAAACAAAAATAATCTGCCGATCCCTCTGGCTTATTTAAAAGTAAACCAAGCTACCTTCAAGGCCAGGCCGAGCATATCTGACCAGGGTGGTGGAGAGACCTGCAAACTGTTGAAAAACAACAGCGTTGCGCACATGTTTTCCATGCAACAAGCTTGAAAGAACCAAAAGACTGAAATATGACCTCCCACAATGCCTCAGGGCTGGCAGTAATGGCTGCAGTCACACATTTGGACGCAATCATCCATGGGTGCCTGTAACAGCTCCTTGTTTTCTTCATTTAAATGATGTGAGTAATGAAAGTGTAAAGAAAAGCACAAAGAGTGATAAAACTGTGGCCTAACCTCAACCAATAGGCTGCTACTACGTATGGCTATGTGTTCAAGTTAAACACTTAACACGAGGCCATTTGTCAAAAGGTTGCACTTTTAAATCAAAAATTCTGCTTTTTTTCCCACATTTAAACATTTTCTTTGGAGAATATTTCATTTAAAAAGATTCCTGTTATTTTTATTTAAGCATTATCACTCACTGCGTTTTCAAACGAGATGGAAACCAGGCATAAAATGACAAGATGTTCATTTAAATAAAAGCATTCGGTACCCAGCCCAATAGATCATCACACTTTTATAAAAAAAAAACATGTGGTCAGACCCAATCAGTTTGTAACATCTCAAAGATGTAAAATGCTTGTTGAGTCCCAACGACTCACCCCCTGCAGTCTGCTTTGTCTGTGGTCACTCGAGTTGAGGATCTATATGCAAATAGTTTATGGCTTTCAGCTGAGAGCGTTTCTCTTCCCGTTAAAAGGACTTAATTGCCACCACCTTCACGCCTCATCTTACTGCACCTGGGGAAATGACCCCTTTGTCTGCCATGTCTGTCTGCCACAATATTTATCACCTCCCAAGTTTTGTACGACTGCTCTCACCGGGGATGACTTCAACAAAGTGTCCCCCCCCCCTCTCCCCACAAAACCAGGCAAAATGGCACGATACCGCATGCTTGAGCAGTGGACAAATTTGGTTTGGCAAACTTCCCTATTCGTGAAGAGCATAAACTCGCATTAGTGTTGCAGGTGGATTACTTTACACCAATCAAATATTTTGGTGACTTCTTTGGGATATGGAGAAGACTAAAATGTGGTAAAAAAACACTGTTTGCCTACTGATCCGTGTGCTGCCTCCATACGCCAAACGGGTCAGCCACTGGTTGCTGAGAAAAGGTGTTACGGATGCAACACATTCTGTCGATTCTGCCTGATGGTGCTCATCAAATACAGATCATCACAACTGTACAAAATTTCGACTCGAGCTTACATCACATACATTCACTTCCCCTCCAAACAATAACTGTCTTGACATTCACAATAAAGTTTTTTGTTGGGTTAGATCGCGTAAATATAAACCACCACCACCCGACACGGCCAATTGGTAAGTTTTGTCGCGTCAACAGAACGTACCAATTAGTAAATTCAGCACACCCGTGAGGAGAGTAAACTCACACTGACAATTTGAGCACGACGTCTTGACATAGATCCATCGGTGAGGTACGGCTGTATTTTCAAATGAAAGTGCCATTTTTACTTCCCCCTAAAGCAATAAACAGATTAAAATAAACATCAACCAGGCACATTTGTAATAGCAGGGCCCAAAGATAGGTCTGCTGTGGCTAAGGAGAGTTTCCAAACGACCTTGTTGGCCTGCCTCTTATCCACATCGGGGAAGTACCCAACCGTCCCCTCCCCCACCTATGGCCTCGCTCCAAACGCACGTACACACACACACACACGGACAAAAACCCCTCTTCCCGTCTGCCCCGTTGAGCCTCCTCCACCGCCCCAGCGCCCGCCCCCCGGCCCTTCCTGCTACACTCCATCCTCACCCTGTAGCTCAGAGCCCTGCTCGGGCAGCCTGGAAGTGTTTATAAAGGCACGCTTGGCTTGCCAAGAAAATTTTTGGTCTTTTTTTTCTCTCCCTTATTTTCCCTTTTTTTTCCATCCTTCCTGGCTAAGAGCGCCAGTTTGAGTTGGAGGCCATGCACAGCGGGTGGCATGCAAGCGGAGGGAGTGAGCGGGAACCGCTCCCCGCCGAGAGCGAGCCGACTGCTGGGCCCGCGAGCTAACGGGCCTTTGAGCTTTAAAAAGTGTTTAATTTTTGCATCTGGTTTTTGTCTCGAGAAATTCCATATATACAGCTGCAATGCATGCATGGCGGCGTGATGCCGTAACTCTGGCATGCTTTAATGTGGGGCAAAGCCCCTAAATAACAAGACCAGGAGTAAAGCTAACAACTAAATAGCCCCCTCTAATTTATTTGCCTTTTTTGTACCTAAAGGGAAAAACATTTGAAAAACAGTGTGTGTTACAGTCGGTATGCGTACCCATGTGGATTTATACAGTGTCTGAATAAAGTTATAGCTCAAGGCTGCACCATGCGGTAGCTAGTTATGGTAACAAATTGTTAGGGTGATGTATAATTGTTTTCTGTGATGGAGTAAGTATTCTTTGTATTGACGTCGCTGACATTCATTTAGGAGCTGCACTCGAGGAGGTGATGCCAAACCATGCCCTGGACCTGGGACTCAGAGCCCTCCTGGACCTGCTTGGAGCCTGGGGTCTTTTCTGGGAGGCCTTGCCCACCCTGCTGCTCTGGCTGCTGGAAGACGATGAGCCACGAGTGGTAGGGACAACTGAGGATGATGAGCAAGGAGGGCTGGGGCACCCGGCAGAACTTTTGATGGGGGCTGGAGAAGAGAGGGAGGTGAGATATCACATAGCTTGGCAAAAATCCCACAACGCCAAGCACTTGAGAACTTTGATAGAAGTGCGGCGGCCATGTGGGCTTCATTACAACACGGATTAGTAATATGTTGCATTGAATAAAAATTTACCTGCAGGTGCTATACAGGATTTTGGTGGATAAGACACATCTTTAATTGATGATAGTAAGCTATTCAGCAAATGTGAGTGTTCATTAGACGTATATAGAGGTTTGTCATATACATCTATATTTAACAGTTATAATATAATAATGCGAGGGTTGTGATGGTTAATCATCCATTCATAAAACACCTTCGTATTTTCCAGAATGAAAACGAGTTTCTCTTCGACAAAGGTGAAGCCAACCTGTTTGCCGAGAGGCTACTCTTCGCCCGGCTTCTTTCCACGCATCTTGAAGGGCACCTGCGACATCTCTCAGTGCACCAGCCAGCACCACCACCAAACCCCGACACAGCCGAGCGACTAGTGGCCACGGCGGATACGTTGGCCGCCAGCTCGCGGAAGGCTACCCGTGACCTGCTCCAGCTGCGGCGCTCGCTGTGGCCAAGTCTCCAGGAGGCTCCACGCTACACGGCACTGGCGGAGCGAGCGGCGCGCTGCCTGCTGACCCTGCGAGTGCTGCTCCTCGCCGTTGCGCCTTCAGAGCCGGCGTCTGTGCTGCGGGCCGCCGTGCAGGCCGGTCTGCAGGAGGCACGGGCGTTGGAGCGAGCGTGCAGTGGCACAGGGCTGACTCACGTCTTCTTGGCATGCACAGCTGGGATCCATCAGGGTTGCGCATTGAACCCTGAACGCAGCTGCTCTTAGCATGCGCAAGCCTTTAAAATGAATTTGCAGCGTACTTAATTGCACAGATGCGGTTTACAAAATGTATGATTTAATGCTGTTACGGTCTCAATTGAACGGCATTTGGCCGCGATGGGATAGACAGTCTGAGAAGAATGCGTTTGCCCAGAAGGAAAGTGTCCGAAATCGGTCTGCTGACAGAAAAAAGTCTTCCACTCGGATTGAGAACAGGGCCTAACAAATCAGACACAACGACTAGATCAGCTTTGTTTTTAGTACAACTCAAACCAAAGCTACTGGAGTCGTGTCGCTGTGCACATGTCGGCGTCGCCACTTCACACGCTCAAACGTTCGCACAGATTATGTCAAGTGGGTGCCACCCGCTGTGGGTGATCTCTACAGCCAGACTCGAACGCAAACGTCAGCATGTTCAATTTGCGGCACTTTTCACACTTCTCTCCGTTTGTTTTCTACACTCGTCTTACCAGTCGAGTCTGCTCGCCTTGTCACCCAAATTGACTCTGCGCAAGGCACACCAGGCCCCAGAACCTCGCCTCGCCTCGGCATGGGCACAGGAAATTGGGGAACACGAGAGAAAGGGCCATATAGCTTGTCTAGCTCTCAGCGCCACGACTCAAAATCCCGGAGCCGCACGACACGCCACCCCCCGCCCTCACTCGCAGTCGACTTCACAGCAGCGCCTAAGCCAATGGTTTTCAATCTTGGGGGGAGGGAGGGGGGCTTCCGAGGGGTAATACATTTTCAACAGGGGGGCGGCGCCAGGCTCTCCAGCAGTCATATTTTTAGCACAACGAAAATATACGACTCGGGGGTTTGTTTTTTTTTGCCCCATTTTAAATAATTGGGTGGAGGAGCTTGGTGAAGAGAAACAGGGGGTGCGGCGCTTCACGTTAGAACTTCGGTGAAATGAGAGAGAAGTCTGGAGGCGGTGAGGGGGGCTCTGGAAAGGAAGTGCGCCTCGCTGACAACTGGTAGCAGTAAGTGGACGCTGCTCGGCGTACGTGAACAAAAAAATTCGGTGACAATTTTATTCAAACATCAGCAGCCCTGATATTCTATTATCGGGTCATAAAATGCTTTTATCTAAGTGCCTTGCAGTTTCTATAGTTGAACAATGAATATGCATCGCATGGTGCTCTGTGCCATTGCATACCTTGAGAGGACAAATGTTCATAAGGGTGTTATTTCACACCTGTATTCTGTTCGCACCTCGCGCCTACCATTCTCATAAGCGTCGGGCGTGCCAGGTCACGGTTAGTCATGTGCAGCGCTAGTGTGAAGTCATTCTCCTCCCGCGAGTCCGCAGAGGCAAGAAACGTCTACATGGAAACCAAGGCATAGGTGTTTCAGAACTGGTCATCATCTCATGCGGACATGGACCAGGCTTGCGTTATAAGATCGCATGCCCGACTGAGCTGGAATTAAAATTCAGGGTAGCACATGCATTGGCATCCGCAACAGTCACACTTGCCAAAGGGTGTTATTTTAACAAAGACGTCACTGACGTGAGCTAAGACCCGCGTTTGCAATTAACTATATTTGGAGTGAGAACGATTGACAGCCCTGAACGGCACGAGACGATGGCTTCTAGGGAAGAGTCCACGCTTGTGAGAGCTGCAGAGGGACTTGACAACTCGTTCCCGTAATTCTCAAGTATCGAGTTATCATTTACTTGAAACTGACAGCTCCCGATCTTTCGGCGGGCCAGCTTACGGGAATGTGCACGCTGATTTTGTTGCTATGGGAATGTGGTTTCCAAAGGCAGGCTTACGGAATCGTGAAAGGTCACATCCACAGTGGGGCAATCAAGAGGTGCCAGCACGTCTGACCTTGTGCACATGTTGTGTGCGGCAACAGTTAGTCATATTTTGGTTAATTTTGTCCCCTTGATTGCTGCCCGCTTACGACAGGCTTGGGACGATGTAATGTTGAATCCGTTGAATATGTTGTAACAATTTCAAATCGTGACGCTACTCCTGAGCTACTCAGAAGTGACACATCCACTGTGAACATCTGACAAACGTCCTCTTTTTAATATAAAAGTTATTTTTTACAAAAACAGTGTCCCAATCAGTTTTCACACGGGGGGGTGGGGGGGGGGGACATCGTGCGGGAGTGGAGAGTAAACAGAGGCACTTGGTGTCTAAACAGCAGTCAATTGAGACGATATCTCTCGCGTATGTTCCATAATTACAAAGAAAACTTTGATTGTGCTATTTCTGTAAAGGTGTTATTTTAAGTCAAGTACCAGCAAGGGGCATTCACAGTTGGCCCAATAAGGCCACACCATCACAATGCATAATTGTTCATAATGTATACTATTAGCTATTAGTATGGTATTTGAATAAGCGCTGCAATACAGCCCCCAAACAGCTATACTAACAAAGCAATATTTCACCATGACCATACATCATTTCAGATGCTAATTTACTCCTTACTAATAAAAATGACTTTCACTTGTGATATTATTTAGGGACAGACACCTCACATAGTTGCCAGCCAGGATGAGAATTGATCAAATTGAACTCGATGCTCCAAGCCATCTCCATCAGTGTCCATCGCTCTGCTACACACACATAGGTAACGCACACCGTGCACACATGTTGATCGATGAACATCGATCTCCTATCTTACAGTTACATGCTAATTTCTCACGTTAACATCACTAGCCCCGGCCAATTAATGACCCTTGAGCTACACCCATTTCAAACCTTTTAAAACAGTCTGCCTCAGCAGCAGCAGACCATGCTTTCCCACCTGATGATGGACGCTTATGTTGCGCCCGAAACGTCGTGATTTATTTTATTCCATACCTACGTGACTTTACCGAAAGAACCAAAGAGTTTGTAGAAGCTGACGAGGAGGGAGTGCAGTTCACGTGGGTGACATTGTGGAAGCCAGATTGGCACTGGGGAGGACTTGCAGCTTGGGAGTTGCTGCTGAATATTCACTGTGAAGGTGACGTTAAATGCTGAGCAAAAACATCAAGGAAGGATATGTTGTTGCTGAGGACTTGTGCTGAACCTTGGCTTTGGAGATCCTGTGTTAGGTTTTCCAGGTACGACAGTTTTCTGCCCAATGCAGACAATCGCCAGACATCCAAAGTAGGAACTTCCAAAGTTTTCTCGTGACTCAAATTGCAAGGTTGCAGTTCAAATCTTTGGTTCACGTACCATCACACCTGAGATCAATACAATGACAAGTCACTTTTTGGGATCTCGACAGAAGTCATCCTCTGGAGAGACTGGCCCTCGCCAACGGAACGTGGAATTAGCAACACTCCCCAATGGAGTTGAGCTCCACTTCATTGCTCTCGAGTGAGGAGACACTGACTTTATTGTTTAAACCGTACTAATTTTGGACCCAGTCTCGATACTCCCAAAACAAATGCTGATGACGCAGATGCCCGTATATTGCCAGTTATGCGGAGATGGGAGTGGAATCGAGATGAAACTGAAAATGAACAATCAGCCACCACAGGAACAAACCACGTGTTTAAACGCTACGTTTGTAATGTGTGACGAACTTGGACATGTTTATATGCTTTTTAAAACACTTGAGATAAAATAGTTTACAGCTGCGCTGTCTCTGACGTCAGTTTGGCTGCTTACGACTTGTCAAAAGTTGAGCGTGTGCAGTTGCGTGAACATCCTTAATTGTCATTTTCACGTCATCTCAGGCAGTGCTGTCTATTTTGCAAGTTTTTGCTGGCCAGCTCGCACGCAGACGAGGGCGCGTCAGTGAGCGTCACATTCATCCCACGGCGTTGAACCGGGTTCGTGCGTGCTGACGTCACGCTTCTCCACCCCGGCCGTGTATGCCGCGAAAATCTGTAAGAAAATTTGTATTTTTAAAATTGCTAGGGCGTCTCAGACATTTGAAAGGGCACACCGGGCGGTAGATGTCCCGATTGAGACCAATGCGACTCAGCTGCTGGCCTGCAAACAGACATACGTTTACCGGTAGGAGGCTGATTACTTTGTGTAATCCCAAAACGGGTAAGCGAATGAAAATCAATTCTTCTTGGTTCTTTCGGTAAAGTCACGTAGAAGGGAAGTAATAAAATAATAAAAATAAAACATAATAAAATAATGTATTTATTATAATATTTTATTTAGTTTTATTATTTTATTACTTCCTTTTACGTGACTTTACCAAAAGAACCAAGAAGATGAATCCCTGCAGTCACGAAAGCTTTAAATCGAAAAATGAAAATCAATTATCCATATTTTGTCTTTCAGCGATCGTCATTCACGTGGCCGGTTTGAGACCCTGTCTGGGTGAAAAACAAGTTTTACGTGCATAGGTGCTTCACCTAAAGTTACACAACACTACCGCATACAGCTTGCCAGGGGGGCCAGAGTCAACTGGAGGATGAGAGATGCGTTAATTTACGAGCACCGCGCGATGCGTGAGAACCCGTGGCTGGCAGGTGATGGGTGCCCCGATGAACCCCAAACTGCCTTACGCAGCAGGGCTTCTGAGCGAGGCCACACGACTTCAAAGAAACAAATAAACAGAGGAGAGGGCTCTGTGTCTCCGTGTGAAAATAAAACATTGTAGTTCATCAACACAGTGGCCCTTTTCAGACCAATGCCTTTCAGCAGCGTTTGTTTAAGCAGTAAAACCTGGATTCGTTTCGACTTTTGAGTCCAATCAAGGCGTGGCACGATTCACAAATATTGGTGGGTTGCCTGGGTACCAAGTCATCTCAATCAACCAACCCACCACGGCACCTGCTGGGGTCTGTCCCGAGACCTATCAGCGAGCCTTCCCGACACTTCACGTGGCCTCAAAGTGCACAGGCGCCGTGGCGAACGGCGGGTATTGGTCTAAAGGCTGACTCAAACCATTGTCGAGCACGTTTATTGCGGCTTCACAAGGAGACGGGTTTACAACAGAAGTTCACTCACTGACGCGTTGACAAATATTTCGCCACGCGGACACACCACTTGGGTTGACTCAGCATATCACCCAGGGGTCTATGTATTGAGTAACAACTGGGTGGAAAGTCGAGTCGGCACGAATCGTTTTCAACAATAGCCCTGTCACATGAATGTGGAACGGACACCACTGGATCAGGTCCGCGAATGGAGTTGAGCGGCGACGCATTCCTCGAGCGGGGAGACGCGAACTTTTTTTTCGGTTAAAATAAAAAAAAATCTTAAGATTTGAAGCTTTCGTGACTGCAGGAATCGATACTCTTTGGTTCTATCGGTAAAGTCACGTAGGTAGAAAATAATAAATATAATGATGTTTTTTTTTCTACCTACGTGACCTTACCGAATTAAAAAAAAAGTTAAAATAAACTGCACCCATCTCGGCGTGTCGTGTGGTATTGTTCCTTCCGCAACGGCCACAAGTTTCAATCCTCCTCGACACGAGCAGTTCAGCCTCCTCCACCCCCCTCCCATCCCCACACAACACGCCACGTATTAACATGTCACGATTCGTTGCTTAAAAATCGATTATCGTCGCGATGCATGACGCTTGGACCGTGCGCGCGTAAGAACTGATCGTTAGAGATTATCTACGGTGTATGCAAATTTATACACAAATTAAATGCCAATGTTACATTGTGGATAGTGAGACGAGCAAAACTGTTCCAATATGAAAGACAAAGGAGTCAAACTACACACGCGAGAAGACAAAACGAGAGACCAGAGAGCACAAAGCAATGCTCGAATCAGAATCACGATTGTCAATCGGCGTGGGGACGCATCATTGCGTCCGCTCACAAACGACAAACGACTGCGACGTGTATCGGTCGTGCCTTCTGCCACATGTGGACTCACCCCCCCCCCCCCCCCCCCCGAGGTGGGGTTGACGGGAGGGCAACGCGCCTCAAAATTTGGGCAGAACAAAGTTCCCGGAACGCAAACATCGTGCGCGCGGTGCCGCTAACGAGACGTTTCCTGGGCACCGCCGCCGCTCATTCATTAGCGCTCGCGCTGTTGCCCTGGCCGAGGGAGCGAACCGCAGGGAACGGGGCAGGTGGTGTGACGGCAACAACACGTGGTGGGCGATGGTTGGGGGTGGTAGAGAAGAATACGGCGGGTGATGATGGTGATGATGGTGACGGTGGTGGAGTTAGTGATGATGGTGACGGTGGTATTGGTGGAGTTGGTGATGATGGTGATGATGGTATTGGTGGTGGAGTTAGTGATGATGGTGACGGTGGTATTGGTGGAGTTGGTGATGATGGTGACGGTGGTATTGGTGATGGAGTTAGTGATGATGGTGACGGTGGTATTGGTGGTGGAGTTGGTGATGATGGTATTGGTGGTGGAGTTGGTGTTGGTGATGATGACGATGGTATTGGTGGTGGAGTTGGTGATGACGATGGTATTTGTGGTGATGATGGTGATGATGATAATGGTGGTGGAGTTGGTGATGGTGATGATGGTGACGGTGATATTGGTGGTGGAGTTGGTGATGATGGTGACGGTGGTATTGGTAGTGGAGTTGGTGATGACGATGGTATTGGTGGTGATGATGGTAATGATATTGGTGGTGGAGTTGGTGATGATGGTGACGGTGATATTGGTGGTGGAGTTGGTGATGATGGTGATGGTGATATTGGTGGTGGAGTTGGTGATGGTAGTGATGACGATGGTATTGGTGGTGGAGTTGGTGATGGTGATGACGTTGACGATGGTATTGGTGATGACGATGGTGATGATGATGATGGTAGTGGTGGTGGAGTTAGTGATGGTGATGACGATGGTATTGGTGGTTGGAGTTGGTGGTGATGATGATGGTATTGGTGGTGGAGTTGGTGATGATGGTGATGATGATGACGGTATTGGTGGTGGAGTTAGTGATGACGTTGACGATGGTTTGCGAGTGGAATCAGTGATGATGACGTTGACGATGGCATGGTGGTAGGAGTTAGTAACGGTGGACGGTGACGACTGTGGTGATGTCGTGAAAGGGTTAGTAGTAGTAGTACCCTGGCTCGTGGCGATAGCACGCCTGCGTTAGTCAGAGAATAATGCTCACTTCTACCGGATGTGGTAATCAGTCCGCGTTAAATAAATCGCCTCCAACACTAACTTACAC